AATAGGCCTACGTATCTGAGACAATGTAAGTTCTCTTTTTCTCTTTCGTGTTGCTATACGAGGGCTGAGCAAGAGGATTTCCTTCCCCTAGTCCTTTTCAATCATCTCTCGGATGAGCTCCGTGCGGAAGTCAGATAATGCCCTTTGCTCATTGGAGTCGTTGATACTATTATCTTGTATGCCTGGAATATACATATATCTATCATGTGCCAAAAGAACTTGTGGTGCCACTTCATTGCCTTCCAGGTACTTAGATAAGTATCCCTCATCTTATCCGACATATCAACCCACCCATATTCATGTTACACTCCAGCACTATGTGGTTTTTTTTAAAAATTATTTTCTCGTTTGTTCTGCTCTCTTTCCCAATTTCAACAGAAGTGGCATCATGAAAATTGCTCAACATGTATACATCCCTCTTCTCTTTCCATTTGAGAGCCATCAGCGAACCACACCATCTTGTGATTACGTCACCTTGTTTCAGCTTTTTTTTCTTTAGGTCCTTTGGCATGCCCTTTCTTCCTGCTAGCACCGTTCCACAAGCATTGAAACCAATATCGTCCCGAGTACATACTCGGAGTGACGCGGGTAAATGGACATCCGCATCACGAGTACGTACTCGGGACGACGCCGAAAGGGTTAAAGGGCCACATCCACGTCTGCATGACGTTTATAGTCGGATAACTTCTGAAAAATCATCGTAACATTGTACAGAATAGGAAAGATGATCTTCTCAAATTTGAAAACGTTGAACTTAATGGTACGGTCTCCCCTTAGCAGGATTCATTTCAATAGAATTCACATTACTACAGTGCTCCAAGCAGTCCAATCGACATTAAAACCATCGGAGTGAAAGCGAAGGGCCGGATCGTCAGCCTGTAAATTACACTGCCACCCTCTCTGTCCCGGTAGCAAGGGTAGCAAGGGACACGAGGGCTTGCACTTTCGACGTGGTTCTCTACGGCAACAACAAGAAAAAGAATGTACAGGGTGTCCATAAAGTAACTTGACGTAGCGAATTTTTTTCTCGTCGCCAACTGAAAATTTTCGTTTCCATAGTCTTAAAGAGGACAAAATTCTTTCCCTTTCTTTACCTGGGAAACTAATATTTTGACAACTGCTGAAAATGCTCAGTTTCTCGCAAAGAGCATTTCCTCATTCTCCTGAAGGTCGACCATGTTTCGGTTGGTCTTGAACTGACCCTGTCTCCCGAAACTTCCTAACAAGATCATGAATGGCTGGGTGAGAAGGCCCTTGGGACGTCTTGCAATGGCGTTTGAACTTTTGTGTTTCTGCCCATAGGCGGGGATTTGTTGAGAAATTTGGGGGGCTCAGACAAAATTTTTTTTTTGGTGGGGTCTCAGAAACAGTACTCCAAGTATTCCTTATTCTTCTGCCAAATTTGTTTTTTTTGTGGGGAAGGGGGGCTCTAGCCCCCTGAACCCCTATGAATCGTTGCCTATGTTTCTGCCACAGATTTTGACTCCAAATACCACTCCGAAAAATACCCAAATACAGTACCACTCCGAAAAAAAATCGTTATGTCAAGTTACTTTAGGGACACCCAGTAGAAAGACTTGGGGATATGAGAGGCATCTCTGACGGACCCCAACATCGATTGGCCATGTTGCTGACATGTTGAGGTAAATATCTCGACCGGGAATTCTCATTCTTCTGTAAATCATCTCTCTGTAAATCGAACGCGGTGCTTAGAAAAAAAATGGCGCCTGTGCCTTTTGCAAGTAGATTTGATCGAAACACACTCCTCAAAATCCGATCCATTGCATTTTTTTTTTACTATCTACAAAGAATCCATACAGTAGACCACTCTTGGTGTTTCTCATGGATCGTCTCGAGCATAAATATCCGATGAGCCATGCCGTAATGTGAACGGAACCGGCTTGACAATGGGAGAGGTTTCTCTCAGAGGAGGTTTCTCTTCGGTCATCCACGTTTGTACGGGCTTTCACAAGAATCCATGGATGCACAGGGTGGGCCAAAAAAAGACAAAACAAACGCTCTCATTTTTGGTGAGCCGTCCATCTGATTGTCGGCTGCCGATTCTGATGTAATTTGGTGGGCGTAGAGGATGACGCGATTGGGGTTTTGTGTGCGAATTTCAGCCTTTTGGCTCTAAAACTATAGAAGTTGTAATTATACAGTATTCTGATGACCCACGACAAAATGTGCTGTCGAAAATACCGATTCGAACTTGAGGTCCGTATTCGTGGAATAGGATCGCTCGCCGCAACAATCTAAGTTTATTTATGAGCTAGGCTAGGCTGAGGCCAACCTAATTACAATAAATACATTAAAAAAAAACGCATTGGCTAAGTTGTCGAATAGTATGGGGGACTGCAAGTTTTCTATTTGAAAATTTTTAAAATTTCTTTCCTTTTGGTTCAGGTGAAAAAAAGGCGTACTTTCTCGCGATCAAAAGTAAATTAAATTTCATTCTCAGTTTTGGGGATTTCGGTATGAAACTCGGCTCACAAATCGTAAATAAGTCATTGAGTCTACCAAATTTCATCCGAATCGGCACCTACGATCAAATTGACAACTCACCAAATAATTACCTTTTTTTCTGGCCCACCCTGTATATGGCGCCGGGAGCTGGGAGCAGCACGAGGTCCCCATAATTATTGCGTCGGACGCTGAAGTCCTTCGGTGAACCTTTCCCTTCGCACCGAGGTTGGCATCCGCACCGCGGGTATTCCCCGAACTGCAAGTACTTCGGCGCCAAGAACCCTGGAATGTCGTCACACCCTGGTTCCGTGCCAGATTCAGAACGCGGAGTTGCTTCAGAGAATCCGATGGACTGGATTGGGACATCGAGAATTCTTACCACCGAGTCCACGTCGCCACGGTGCAACTACGCATTCGAAATGAAGCGTGGGAGCGAACGAGAATTCCGGAGTGCGTACACCGGTGGTCCCGAAACTCATTGAGGCTAAGGGCACGCGGGTGATCCTGTCAACATGGCCGCATGAAAAGCCATTCGACATTTTGGTAATTATTTCTAATTATATCAATGATAACACTGTCTCGTTTAGCTTCAACGCGAATCACGAAAAGGACTAATTATCCACTGAATGAATGATTTAATTATAGAGTCCGCTAAAAAAAAGTTTTGAAATCACTTGTGAATACTTTGGTTTTGTCCTTTCTAATTTCATTTCGTAAATACATATAGTGTTATTTGTATGCCGTTGGACCGCACGGAAATGGAAATTGGGTCACACTTTCCATCCCACGCACACCGAGCCTGCTGCGAAATCTGGTCTAGACCCGCCGAAACTGGTTTTTCAGCTCCAAGCAAGCAGGCGACTTTTCCACCGACGATCGGAGATTTCGAACGCGATGTTCCTTTCAAGGACGAAGTCGATCGGTTTTCTCCCACCGGGCAGGGAATTTCTCTTTCTCTTTCTCGGAAGTGGTTCACGGTATGGCTGCCTCCGATGCGTTCCGATCGTCGTCCTTCCGAAATGGATTCCTCCCTGGCAACCGGCACTCTCGAGTCGCAGCGTTTCTCCTTGAGAGAATCCGTGACGAACAGTCGGATCGGACGGAAGGCCATCGCGTTCGAAGGCACTCCCAGACGTCGTCCGACCTGGAAACGAATCCGCTCGGCAGAAGGACGCCGGGTTTCCGCGAATCCGATTCTCGGGTCGTCGGTCACGGCCGTCTCGACTCGACGGGGTTTTTCGACCAAACCGACCACACTTCGTTCGTTTCGACGCCGCAAGGGTTTTCTTTCGTCTGAAATGTCATGCGATTACCTTCGAGGCGAGAAAATTCTCGCTTCGTACAGCATACTCGGTCCTAACGTGCCACAGAATCTCATGAAACTGAAGGGAGACCAAGAAAGGCTTCGTTGACAGTTTTTCGGCCGCATTCTCCACTCTGCAAATTCTAAAAGTCTATTTGCTGAGTCATAAACGAATGGTAGACAGAGTATCGAAGAAGCCCGTGAAATAATCACTCCACCATTGTTGTGTATGGAGCAAACGCAACATTTTAAATTATATTTGGGCCTTTTCCCGGTGGAGGACAACCAGCAGTTCCACATTATTCAATAAGTACAACAAACGACACCAACGATGCTCTTCCGGGGTTTATTGTGAATGTGAATTCAGTAAAACCCCGATAATCTTGTATGAATTAATCAGTTTGCGGATTATACGGGCACGGAAAAAGAGAACCTGTTGTTTGCAGCCTCTCTATTAAAAGGTGCAGTACTGAATGTACATACTGTTATTTAATCCAACGTATTTCACGCCACCAAATTACAGCTGTTGCGAAAGCCGGCAGTAAGTGTTGTCTGTGAAGCGATCGAATCCCTTCCATTAGCACGGATAATCCGGGTTCTACTGACCCCGATTATCCGTCCTAATGGGCCCCCGATTATCCGGATGGGAGCCGATAGGCTCTTGCGACAGCAGAAATATTAGAGTCGAATACATAACAGCTCAATATGTTCGTGCAATACTGTACAGCTGAAAGGTAATTCCCGGTTTTTCTTTTCACTGAGCTGCTAAGGAACTTTTGGTACCCTTATCTAAAAGTCCCCAAGCAGGTAAAAGGAAATCAGCCTCTAAACCGCAAGTAACACGCTTTTTTTGTTAGTCGAGCACACATAATCCGCACATAAGCGATTAATCCCCACAATCGAGATTCTGCCGTATTCCCTCACAAATTCGTAATCATTATGCCATGAAACTATTTCGTGACGTTAAAAGGGAAGGGAGGGGGTGATGCCGAATTAGCTACAGTCGCTCATTGCGAAGCCAAAACTTCTATGGATGAGACGTTATTTTACGATGGGTCGTGAGCCATTGAATTATATGGACTGGCAATCCAAGGAGTCCTAAATTACGACAGCGTTACAATTTAGTTTTGTGGAAGCAAGGCGGAAACACGGAACGGCAGGGACATGGGGTCCGGGCGACGGGTCGGCGGGATGACGTCACGGGTGAAGGAGCCAATGGGAGGGAAGGAGTGTTGCCCAAATGAAGCTTCCAGGGGACGCTCGAGAAACTGACCTACATCGAGATCAGTGGAAGGTGAGACCTGACTGGCAGAGCAGCACTAGTTCAAGCCCGTCCAGTTACTCCCTCCCAGTTGGTCTTTTTTCCCTTTCCTCTCTTCCCTTGTACTACCCAGACGTCAACATGAGGCGGTTGATTGGTGCTACGTTTCTTCTCTTCTGCTGCACTCCTGGTGAGCTATACTTCCTGCTTCGCGAGAAAACTGCTGACCTTGGTTGATGGGGATGGCCTTCGTTTCCGTTACACCGTGGGCAATCACCTAAATCTGAGCCGTTAACGGAAAGCGCTAGTTTGTCTGAACCACTCCGAGCCGGTTCTGGCTCTTTGAACTTTTCCAAGGACACTCGCTACTCCAGACAAGTAGGAAATGTAACATCAAAGCAGATTAGAAAATTGGAAAATAGCGGAAAAGTTGGTCTCGAAAAGTTTACTTTTACTGAATTGTTAAACTTGGGAGCAGGAGGCCCACCAATATCGTGGGCAATCTTGGTAGTAAGCAATTCTGGATTGGGAATCCATCTCAAGACATTAAACAGAATTATCAGAAGGGTGTCCATGTATAAAGGGTATGGATTCTCGCGTAAAGTATTTTTCGCGAAGTTTCTCTTCACCTATTGTCTTGAATTCGTCGTGTGACACTGAATTCTAGGACATTCTGCACGTTTTAGAGCATTTTTAGCCATTTCGAGACATTTGACAATTGAAAATTTTTAGCTAACTTTTTGATAAACTGTTTTGATTTGGCCTTTTTCGGCAAACCACCACTTGTTGAGTCGATTGACTCCTGGCTGACCTCTGTCGTACAGTTCTAGATATGAGCATGATAGGTGCCTATTATGTATGTAAATGTGTACCAGCAACCCATTGCCTCGCCATGGTTCAGGGGCGGGCATGCGGCAAAGCAGGCTTGCTCGGAAAAGGAGAGCCGGGGCGATTCAGTTTTCCTCACTGGAGTCGAAAAAATATCGGAAGTCTGCTAGGATTGGGGAGTAAGGGGATCCGTGCAGCTCGGGAAGGTCAAGGTCACCATGTGCCTTAGCCTACATCCACTTTTCCTTTCTTTTTCACTTTCCCTGTCATCTGGTTGGCGCCAGAAAGTCGTGTGTTGATGTAGGAAAAAGCACTTTCACGATCGACTCAATCCCCCAGGAAGCCCACGCGATAGCCGAGATCTTCAAACGTGGCTTCCGATGAAAGGCCGGTTCCAACCCCTGCATTTTATTCTCTGGATGAAAGTTCAGGCTAACCGCATATATATTCAAACCAGATCCACATATCTGGATCAGAAGGAAAGTTCTTAAACCTCATCCATTCGAATTGATTCATTCCCTCCCATAAACGTAATTCCTGCTGACACGCATTCAAAAGGCACAAGTCAGACTGACTGCCTTGACCCGTGTCAAGATGAACTGGGACAATGTGGCAACGTGGTGACCCACATTTTATAATACATGGAATGTTGCAAACCGCAAACAAGTTTTTGGCGGCTTTGCAATCCTCGTGAACGGGGTTACTGAGGTCTTTTCGTGCCCTCGTCAGCTACTGGTTTTGGATGTCTACTTGGATGACGCTTCCAAAAGTAACACGAGCTCATGGACATGTGAACTGGAAGGTACATGTACATTTCAGGCTGGACCTCGATCCTCAATCGAGTGAAGAGACAGGATCAGGGGGCAGATGCGACAGACTTCGAGAAAGAATTGTGCAAGAACAGGCTGCCCGGCGAATGGTTCCGTCTCGTGGCCGCTACCGGTGACGAGTGCCGGAATGTCATCCAGTGCACATCTTCCGTAAGTACCGTCCCTCGACACTCAATGAATCTAAATATCTCTTACCTGAACCGTGACGGTACGATGTTGCTGCTGAAATAGGGCCTCCAAGCTATCCGGTGCCCGCCGGGTCTCTACTTCGACATCGAAGCCCAAACATGCAACTGGAAAGACCTAGTGGGTAACTGCAACAAGAAGGAACAGGTGAAGAAAGCAAAGCCCCTGCTGTCCACTGAAGAGCCCATCTGCCAGGATGAATATCTCGCCTGTGCAGATTCCACATGCATCCCCAGGAAACAGTTCTGTGATGGAACCGAGAATTGTGCTGACGGCTCGGATGAAGCATCCTGTGGTAAGTGCTTTTTTCTTCCGTCTCCATTCTTCTACTTATGTCCGGATGAGGATGACAACGTAAATTGCTTGATTGCCTAGATATCAACAACGATCCGAACCGAGCACCCGTTTGCAATACTGAAATCTGTCAGATACCAGAGTGCTTCTGTTCTCCGGATGGCACAGCGGTGCCTGGGAATTTGGAGCCGAAGAGAATACCTCAGATGGTGACTGTGACTTTCGACGATGCCATCAACGTGGCGAACATCGACCTTTACAACGAGATCTTCAACGGGAAGAGAAAGAACCCGAACGGATGCAACATCAAGGCGACGTTCTTCGTGTCTCACAAGTACAGCAACTACTCGGCTGTCCAGGACATGTTTAACCGAGGACATGAAATCGCCTCGCATTCCATCACGTACGGAATCATCTCTCCGTCTTCAGGGTATTTTCCCCCCAAAAAACTTCTAAAACTTTTTTCCTACCTACAGGCACACGGATAATGAGACTTTCTGGTCGCACGCATCCATCGACGACTGGGCACGGGAAATGGCCGGTTCAAGAATCATCATCGAGAAGTTTGCGAATATCACTGATAATTCCGTGGTCGGGCTCCGGGCTCCTTACCTCAGAGTTGGCGGAAATAATCAAGTAAGTTTTCTTTTAAAAAAAATTCTACTTTCTGTATTTCTTACTCTGATTTGAACTTTTGGGATCCCTCTCATAGTTCACGATGATGGAAGAGCAGGCGTTTTTGTACGACTCTACTGTGACGGCTCCCCTCAGCAATCCTCCCCTCTGGCCCTACACTCTCTACTTCCGTATGCCTCATCAATGCTATGGGAACCTGCAGAATTGCCCCACTCGCTCCCACGCCGTCTGGGAAATGGTCATGAATGAATTGGACATGAGAGAAGATCCCAAATTCGACGAATCTCTTCCAGGTACAACATTAGGAAGCAGAAAAATTGACTGATTCAAGCTATAAAAGTTGATTAATATAGTAGAATGTGGCATTGCCATTATTTGTTGCTCCCACTCCTTAGTATTACATCCTTAAGAGTTTTGCAACCCTTTGTAACCTCAATCCAGTATTTGTTGGATGAATCACTACAATATTCCCCTGCTATTTATTTCCTCTGCAGGTTGTGCCATGGTGGACTCGTGCTCGAATATCCTCAATGGAGACCAGTTCTACAATTTCCTCAATTACAACTTCGATCGACATTACTTGACAAACCGAGCCCCCTTCGGCCTCTACTTCCATGCCGCTTGGCTCCAAAATAACCTGGAATACTTGGACGCCTTCCTCTACTGGATGGACGAAGTCTCGTCCAATCACGAAGACGTTTACTTCGTGACAATGACTCAGGTGAGTGGGACGAGAGCCGGTTTCCTTCCACCCTCGTGAAAGACAACTGGTTGGGGGGGAAAAGGAGGTCAATAATTCATGGATCCAGGTCAGGATGCTGATGAATTTTCCCTATTCAATTAACGACTGAGGCCTTTTCCTTCTTTCCTCCAGGCGATACAATGGATCCAGAACCCGAGGACGACCGAGGAAGTGCGGAATTTCGAGCCGTGGAAGGCTCGTTGCAATGCAGAGCCATCGGGAACAGTTTGCGGAACCCCGAACGCCTGCCCCCTGACGACGAAAGAACTGCCTGGAGAAACACTGAGACTCCATACCTGCATGAAATGCCCTCAGAATTACCCCTGGCTTCTCGATCCCCTCGGCGAAGGCCGCTTCGTCTGAGAACCTCTTTTCAGCGCACTGGTGATATTCTCCCTTCTCCACAATGATCCATGGAACGTAGTAAACGTGCAAGAACAGTTGAACAGAAACAGAGATATTATAGAATAAAAAAGACGGGACAACGGAGCCGCCATTGATGTGCAGACGAACGCTTGCAAGATTTCTCGTAAGCATTGACTTTGTGTGAAAGTTGTAGGTCTACCCTCGTTTTGTGATGCTCAATGAACAAAAAGAGGGATAATCAACCCATGGCCTGCTGCATTTTACTCCGTCTTTCTCGAAACAGTTGACGTTTCCTCATTTCTGTGATCTACTGTATACCTTTTGTTTTTTACATTCCTGGTTGACTCCTTCCGTCAGTTTTATGTTTTCTTCGGCCGGAATAAATGGGGGAAAGCATCCCCTCGCTCCAAAGCTTTTTGTTCCCATTCCTTGCACCTTCGAATTGAGAGTTGCTACGTGGAAAACTAGCAACGGAAGAGCATGAAGATCCTGGGAGTTGGAGCATCTGATGAAATGTCTATTGGAATCGCCTGCATCTGTCATACAATTTGCCGGCGAAAGCAGTTCCGTCGAGAACGTATATGCCGGTTAACGAGATTTCATCCTTGTCACGAACTGGAAAACAAGGCAATGAATGGTTGGCTACACGAACGAGATGAAAAGGATACCATTGCGATATGCATTTAATTTATATGAAGAACCTTTGTGGAGGAAGACAGCGTTGCACTCGATTTGACCGAGGAGGCAAGAGTCTCTCCCAAGAGGGGGGAGGGGGGGGGGGCAAAAGCCAGTTTTGAAAGTGAAGCCAGGTTTTTTGGCTGAGCATGAGAGATGGTCCAGGAGACGAGATAAAACGTGGCACTTTTTTTTTCTCTTTAAGATTCCCCACGTACACGAAGTAGGTCTAAGTTCTATATGGGTTGAAGTGGAACAGAGAAAGAGAGAAATCCATGCTTGGAGGGAGAAAGTAGACGAGGGAGAGACGGCTCCAACCGGTCCATCCTCCCGACCCGATTTCGTTTTCAGGGATCTTTCTTCACCTGTCACGAAGGACGACTGTAGAAAGTGTGGAAGATGTTTCAGTTGTCCGAGACAGTCAAGGACCATCCGGGACGATTTCGTTTCATGGTCACTCGTCAGATGTCTCTCTAGTTTGCTCATGTTCTTCCGCATCCAAGTAACCGCTAAGTGCATTCCTTTCTCCGTTCCATCACGTTTTCTCGGCTCATGGTCATCAGATCCGAATCTTTAAGACGCAGAAGAGAGCTCTGAGATCATTTTCCAACGCCTAATCGAAGTGGGAAGGAAAGGAGGAGAAAGAAAGGAAAAGTATGAGACGTGACCGACCAGATATTCCCTTTGCTGGGTGTTACCCGTGAACTTGGGAGAAAGTGGACGCAGACCGAGGTGATGAAACGAAACCGGACGATCAGAAATGTCATTTCAATGATGCAACCCGATTCCGCACCGTGACGGGTTGAAAGCGAAGAAGAATGTTCCCTTAGGTCCTCTGACGAGATGTAATAGCTCTCTATCTACGCCATAAAGAGCGTGTGGTGTTGGCAAAGGCGAAGGCCTGGGGTGTTTCGCAATGACCTCGTGGAGCTCTGCTTCTCGCACGGATACCCGAGCCGAGGGCGTTCAAAAGCAAAACGAGTTCTGGAAACGCCAATTCCTTTCCGAGAAGGCCTTGTGGAGTGCCTCGGTTCGAAAAAAGGAACCCAAGAGCCCTGTCTTAATTAACCCCAGGAGCTCGTTCACGTGATCTATATCTGGCCTCTGGCTATATCATTCGCCGGCACGCAAGAACAGACTTACCTTCCCTCCATTCCTATTTCCAAACTTTTAATGCCCACTTAGTTGGAACGAACACACCTCTGAGAATTATGTAATAAGAGGAAAGATCAGTTGATTGCAGCGTGATTCAGATGGTACTATAAGAGCTTTCGGCTACGAAACGAAAAAAAAAGCGAGACACACGATCGTGGTATCCGGAAGGCAGGATCTCGGATTCTACGTTCTGCAGACAAGGAACACATTACACAAGGGACGGAAGGGGAGATAGAGCTATGAGAAATGGACGTAGAGAGGTGAGAGATTGCGGTCCACCCAGGCCTCAGGCTCTCACCGTGATCATCTAGGAGGAAAGGGTTACGTCATTTTTCCCCCACTAGTTCCTGGTTCTGTCAAGGGGAAAAGTTTCTCTCGATGACAGATAGACGAAGGAATAATGATAGGTAAGGGATGAATTCCCGGTCGCAACGATCGAATAAAGTGACGTGAGACCGATTTCTGCATTAACCTACCATTAATCTGCCATTAACACGGCCGGGCCGATATATCGGTCCTAAAATGTAAGCATCTTCATCTATTGGCTGTAGAAATCCTGTGACTGATAGTTTTCAATCGATTTGAATCGTTTGGCCTCTACTGTCTAATTACAGCTTCCGTGATATTGGCTATAGTAGCCAAATTCAGTCCGTGTTAAGAGGGTTACGGAGTGATTTTATTTTCTCCGATCTCCGAAGATTGTCGTCCTTTCAGAAAGCTATTAGGAACAGGAGGAACGGAACGGAACGGAACGGAAACCAGAAGAACCGATTCCTCCACCAACTTTCCAACCAGAGATGGTGTGAAGATTTCGCGGAGCAACGACTTTCTGATCGTATTACGAATGCTGTCAGGAAAAGTGTTGTGCAAGTGTCGTAACATCTAAGCAGCTGCATTCATTGAAGAATCCATGCAATATTTATATTTCCGTCGCACGAGACGACACGGCGTTTTTATTCTCTTTTTGTCGTCGAATGGGGGCTTGTAGAAACGATTCCGGATTTAGGAAAAACATCCAAGGTCCTTTCAAAGTCATAACGTGAGATACGAGACGGATTCCTTCATTCGCCGGCCGACGAGGAATGTTCTCCCTCTGGGCACGTGCACAGGGGCAAACCCAGACAAAACCAGACGATACCATCGATGCCCAGAGGCAAGGAGGCTTCCAGGAATCCCTTGGGTGAGGCTTCCTAGAAACGTCATGCGATCTTGACGGATCGCCCCCCCGGATGCCAAGAACCGAGCGTTGGCCTCGAGAAGCTTCTCGAACCTTCGCTCGTGGAGGTACTAAAGTCTCTCATCGAGATAACTGGAAGGGAGCCATTCACCTGCCGAGGATATGAAAATAAATGAGTCCATGTGAAAGCCTAAGATCCCGCACTGCTGTCAAATATGAGCAAGACAGACTGTCTTAGGGAGGGTTCTCTCGACCAGCCCGAAATGACTGGAGGGGGCTCACCTGTGCCACTTCCCTTTCACCTCTTTAGGTGTTTACCTCTAGGCCTTAAGGCTTCTCAATCAGACCCGAGTGGACAGGTGGTTCGTTAGCGATCCCTTTTAAAGATTCGCCCCGTGCTTTATCTGAACCGAGTAGGCTCATGGCCCTGAGTCCACCCCACTTTTTTTTCGTGTACCCTGGCAATGCCCCTGCAATGCTCCTTCCACCCTGAAATGAGAATTCTGTTGCATCCTCAGAAGTGAGGAAGCTTGGTTAGAACGACTACCGTCGCTTTCCCGTTTGACTATTGCTCCGCAGTACGCAGTTACCCAATAAATTCCCAATGAAAATGGCGGATTGGTGTTATGAAAGTTCATTATGGACCATTAGTTTACCTCGGGAAGATGTGCTCATCAGGGGAGAAAAGCAACTTCGACCATCTTCTGGCATCAGCTCAAATTCCTTCTTCCACATCTCCCATCAAAGTAGGACCGGTTTTCGCTTCCAGGCTGTTCCATATACTTTTACATCGGAGGAGCACATTTGATCCTTTGAATAACAAGCATAATGCCTTTCTTTGTGAAACGCTTTCTCTCAAGCAGGTCCCAGCACAGTTTTTATATTAACAAAAAAAGGGGGGAGGGGGTACTTTCTTCCGCCGCACTGATTTCTGATTTGATGGACCTTGCTATGCATTGCGCTTATTTTTCTCTCTTCAATTCTTATATCTGCATTTGAGTCCTCGGTCATTGTTATTATTGAAGTTAAATTAATTCCATATATCTATTTATGACTTGGTCTCTTGACCTTGGGATTAACAGTAATGAAAATTAAAAAGAAATTGGATCCTTTACTAACGAAGGCTGAAGTAGTCGTCAATAGTGAATCTTTTCACATCTGGGTAGTCGACAGTCCACTCGCTGTTTACTTTTCCCTGTTGACCAGAGGTTGATGCTTTCCGAAAATAATGAAGCGGAACCCTGAGCTCAATATTTCACGAAATCCATCTAGACCCACTCTCAACCCACTTTGGCATGCCCAGAAGGAAATGCTTCAATGTGACCGCTTCTATGGCACAGTGCGAGACATGGTTTTGTTTCGTTTTTCCTGCGTTCATCACCTCATTTCATGTAACTTGGCAGCGCTGTTCGTGAAGGGAAGTCGAAGCCTGACCTGGAGGTAATCCTGGCATCGGTCACGTACTCTCCACGCCCAAACTCCTTTTAAAGATAAGCACGGACAAAGACTTAACATCTTTCACTTTCCCGTTTCCTCTCCCTGTATAGCGGAGACTACGTATGAAGAGTAACCTTTTCAATGACTCGGGAGCAGGCTCATCGAGTTGAATACGGTGTACCATGATTGAACGACTTAGAATTGAAGCCGAGCAACCTAAACCGAGATTCGAGTCACATTGAGAGACTGAAAAGAAACTCTGCCCTGTTGCTCCTAAGGTGACCGTCATAGTTTCAACGAATGTTGAATGGGTATTCTCTGATCTTCCCTAGCTCTGGAGCTTTTAACGTAAAGGTTATTTCAGCGATACAAAACGCTGGACTAAGTAAATTCCTTTGTGTGGCTTGACGAACTGCAACTCAGTTCGTGTACAACCTCTCTCTTTTGGCCACCGGTGCATTTCGAATTCAGTTGCGAAAAACGTGGCTTAGGAGCTTTAGCAACTGAAAGAAGCCACTGAATGCTCTTGGACATCTTAGAAAAGAGAGGCAGCAAAAGGAAAAACCTTCCAGAAATTAGGCAACATTTCTACAAAAACCTAGAGTTTGGTCGAAACCCGCAGAAGGTCAAGCGGAGGTAGTTGCTACCCATGTGGCATCGAAGGCTTTCTCCCAATGGCTGGCGACAGATCTGGTGATAACAGGGAAGCAAGAACAGCCACGGACAGTGAAAGTGGAAAAAGAGGAAAACAGGTTTAGTGGAGTGGTTTTAGCGAGAGGGGAGGATGGGTGGTGGGAATGCGCATGCGCTGTGAAGGCCTGCTCCCTCCCCCCTCCGGCCAAGGGTCCGCAGCCAATTTAGGGTCCCTGCGACGGCTGGGTTTCTCTTTCTACCTTCGCCTTTTCCACGTTAGTCAGCCATGTCTCGCAGTCCGGTGTGGTTGTGCACTTCTCACTTCCTTTTCCTCTCCCTCTTCGTCCTACCTCTCGGTAAGATAGGGTCACCGACCCTCCCCCAATTCTTTAATCGAAAAGGCTGACTTGGGCACACCTGTTGATTGCAGAGTTCATATTTTATCTGGCTATTTCGGAAGTTAAATGCTACGCCGTGAAAATAGAACGTACGTCAGTGCCGCCTCATTTTAGAGCAGTTATTTTACGAAGGTTGGATTTATGGGAAATCCGCAATATTTACAGTGTGGTTTCAAGGTGTCCTCGACTACCTTCTGACACATGTCTACAAGAAACCGCGGCGAAAGTACTCAAGGTCCTTCGGTTCACGTTTTCTTTCCGTAAATCTACGCAGTACTTATTTTATCCACCACATCCTGCAGCCAAAAGCGGTATGGCCTTCTCCCACGTTAAACAGGCTGATCCCGCTCGGGAACTGGAACAAATTATATTTGATATGATTTAGACGCGTGAGGGTCAGAGGTAGTGGTGAGATACTCCTGGGGCAAGGCCTGAAGTTGAGCGCCCCTGAAAGGTCCTTTCTCTTTGCTCCTTGACATTGAGAGAAAGTGGACAGAGAAAGTCTAACTTAATTTCATATGCGACCCCCATTCGAAAGGAAGAGGAATAATGTCAAGGTATGATGTTATGGGATGGGAACCGTATTGGCCGACGAAAGGAAAGGATGAACAACAATCACGCGTGGGAAGGGAATATTCACTTTTTATTGCCTTATAAATTTATTCCATGGTCTACTTATGCAGTGATTGCATCGGGAGGAGATGATGAGGTGAGGGTACGGGAGAGAAGACAGGCAGAGAAGACAGCAAAAGAAAAGGTGGATTTCAAGTCACTGACCATCGAAGAACTCTGCAAGGACCGGCGAACCAATGAATTCTTCCGACTGACCACCGATGGAGACTGTCGAGACGTTGTCAGGTAGGGTCAATTTCATCTCGTGCACTGCGTCGTGGATCTAGCCAGTTCATACTGGCATACATTGAGGGTCTCGAAATCTCACCGTATCCGCATGCAAATGGGTGCACAGGTGCACAAGAAATCCGAACCTTTCCAGAATTGATTTCGGCGATTGGCTCAGCTAGGAAGTCTCAAATTAAAATCCTTCAACCAGCCATAGCAACAAATTCATTTATTTGAAGACGAATTCTGAACTACATAAACTGCCGTGTTTGAAATATGCTCCTGATCGATGTGAGATAGAGGACGTAAACTTTTCCTTTTACACCTGTACATATGGAATGAGTTCCAACCACAAGAAGATAAGGGAAGGCGAAGTTGAGGAATTACGAAAAGCAGAACGGGAGGGAGAAGTGAAAGTGCGAGTAAGTAAAGTAAGCAGTCTTGTTTACGAAGCAGGATCTCTTGTGCAACAAGCTCGTGTCTGTCCGATAGAGAGAAAGAGGGAAGGGATTCGATCCCTTGGTTTTAAATTCCCATGAGACCATTTCCTAGGACCGGGTTGGTTGTTTTTGCAGATGCGATCGAGCAGGACTGACCGGGAAGATTCGTCTGGCCGGGGTCAGATGTCCGAATGGGCTCGCCTTCGATGTAGACAGGCAGACATGCGACTGGAAGGCAAAGGTGTCAAACTGCGATCGGCTGGAGAAGCCAAGGAAACCCCTGCCGAAGCTGGTGACCAACGAGCCCATTTGCCCCGAGAATGAACTCTCTTGCGGGGACGGGGAGTGCATCGCCCGCGAACTTTTCTGCGACGAGAAGCCCGATTGCCGAGATGGATCTGACGAGAACGCTTGCAGTGAGTCGTTGCCCCCCCCCCCCCCTCCTTCCCCTAGATGCCTTTGGCAACCGCAGCCATAGTTGTGCAGTAGTCCAATTCTTGCCTTATGGTAGTACCACAGAAATTTCTTGGTCTTGAAAGTGGTTCCCCACGATTCTTGCCGAAATTCTCCAGGCAGTTCGTTTACTGTGTGAAATGGGACGCTGGTGCAATCGAATACTTCAAATTTCAGTCTTCCTCATCCATGCCCATAAGTGAGAGAATTCTCGTGCCATTGGCGGAATCGACAAGTTTTCCTTTTTTTTCGATGAACAGGTTCAGGTGATTTCAGTTGCTTTAGAGGTAAAATCGCCGGCTTAAGTACCGGGGCAGGATTTATCCTGTAGAAAAATGCGGACCCTTTTTTTCTTGTTCCTGCATGGGAGAACTGGGTGAGGTAACCTGATGAATAATTCTTCAGAGAAACACTTGCTCACTCCTTGATGCAATCGTCACTTTTAAATGCAAGATTACGCCCTTCTCATCGATAATTTTAAAGCTTAAGTCCAACTCATTGCCATTCCATAAAAGACGCGCCGTGATTGATCTGTCGTTGCTCCGTGAAAGTTGACTGGTATCTGCTTTCGATGGAATGATATATAGATGAAATTATGGAGCAAGTGCTCATCTGTCTGCGACTGGTGGCTACCTTGGCCTCCAGCAGTCGCCCTTTCCGAGAAAGGGGAAAGTGAAAGTGAAAGTAAAAGAAGAATGTCGATAAAATTCAGGATTTTACAATCAATGCCGAGCTTTCAACATCTCCCTGCCTTTGGAAAGTTTTGAATGCATTGATAATGTGCCCAAGCCCATCTTTATTTTTATTACTCGTTTGATTGACCTGGTTAATTGCATTTTATAATGCTGCCTTTTGAGTACGACATTCTCACCTGGTACCACTTGTTGGCCAATCGGTATTTTCAGCAGTGGAGTAGTTTGATTAACCGTGCACTAATTGACAGGTGAAAACCCATGTTTGTGGCAGACTTCAGAACCTCTATGTATTACATTTCTTGTGGCATACTTAACATAGGAGTAATCCCGCTGATCCGTGATGTTCATAGCAATTGTCCTAGGAAGTGACGAAGCTCTCAATAGTTTTTTTATTTAGGAGTTCTCGTATGCCTGCCTTTGGAAGCAGTGAAGTTGAGATATTAAGATGATCATATTAGTAATTTGGATGGACTCGCGTTGTTGGCGAGCAGGTATTGCAAAAGTTGAATGGACTACGAAGACTGGATCCCTGAGACCCCAAGGTTGCCCTGGAAAGGTTATAACTTTACTATAGATTTAGTCCAAATAGACTGCATTTGGCCCATTTAAGACTTGCTGGTAGAGTATAGGTTTCTGTACCGATCCCCATTTGTTTATTAGCCGTGGACCAAGACCCGAATGCAGCTCCGAAATGTGACCGATCGCAGTGTATTCTGCCAGACTGCTTCTGTTCGGCTGATGGGACTCAGATCCCAGGAAATTTAGAGCCGTCTCAGGTCCCACAGATGGTCACCATCACCTTCTCTGGGGCCGTCAACGTCGACAACATCGGTCTCTTTGACGAGATCTTCGACGGCTCCCGACAGGTATTTCCACACGTGTTCTGAGAATTCCCTCCCGCGCTCAAGTGGTAAAACCTCGATCTCCTCTCCCCTTGCAGAACCCCAACGGCTGCCAGACTCGAGGGACGTTCTTCGTGTCGCACAAGTACACCAATTACTCGGCAGTGCAAGAACTGCATCGGAAGGGGCACGAAATCGCTGTCTTCTCCGTCACGAGCAAAGAGGACGAGAATTATTGGACCGGGGGGTCTTATGACGATTGGCTCGCCGAAATGGCAGGCAGCAGGCTCATCATCGAACGCTTTGCCAACATCACCGACAACTCTGTCATTGGTAATTTGCTCTCGAGAGTCGGGACGGCCTCGGTAATCCAATCAGATTCTAAAAATGACGTGTGCTCTTTTTTGTGTGTAGGAGTGCGAGCTCCGTACCTTCGAGTTGGGGGTAACAAGCAGTTCGAGATGATGGCGGATCAATTGTTCGTGTACGATGCTTCGATCACGGCCCCTCTTGGCCGAGTCCCCATATGGCCATACACCTTGTACTTTCGAATGCCTCACAGTTGCCATGGAAATGGACAGAACTGCCCCTCTCGTAGTCATCCCGTTTGGGAAATGGTAGGAGTCTCGTAAAAGTCCTCCCCCCTCCCCCAAAAAAGTAGAATAAAATATTTGTTTTCAACCTTTCATTCAGGTGTTCAACGAATTGGACCGAAGAGATGACCCGACGTTTGACGAGAAGCTGCCAGGTTGTCACTTCGTAGACTCTTGCACCAACATTCAGACCGGAGAACAGTTTGGTCGTCTCCTTCGACACAATCTCAACCGTCACCTCAGGTAACAGCTCTCTCCTTTCTAGCTTGTATTTTCTCCCAGAAGCATTTTCTCACGCATTCTCTGGTCTAATTTTTTTTTTTTTTTTTTTTTTTTTTTAGCACAAACCATGCTCCCTTGGGTCTTCACTTCCACGCCTCTTGGCTTCAGTCTAACAAGGAGTTCAAGTCAGAGTTGCAGAAATTCATGACTGAGATGTTGAACCGGAATGACGTCTACTTTGTGTCCATGCTTCAGGTCAGTAACTCGCCTGAAGCTTACCATTTTGTAAGATGTTGAACATAGGGAAGGAAAAGCATTTGTTTGTTCCTTAGGTGATTCAATGGATGCAGAACCCGACGGAGCTTACGGCGATCAGGGATTTCCAGGAATGGAAGGAGAAATGCGACGTGAAGGGGAATCCGTTTTGCTCGCTGCCGAACCCCTGCCCCGTGACGACGAGGGAATTGCCTGGGGAAACGTTGAGACTCTTCACTTGTATGGAATGCCCCAAGAATTATCCTTGGATCTTGGATCCCACTGGGGATGGCCTCATTTGATCAATGATCATTCCCCGACTCACGTGCATGCATCCCAACATCTGTGATTTCATTCCATTGTCCATGGTTTTTTTTGTTGGATAATTTTTCTCCCGTAAATTTAGACTCTTGTATGGATGAGGACAGTGGCAGTAGCAAAGGCGCGGAGACCCTTCGATGAAGGATCAAGCAAGTAAACGCGCGGGGCCCGAAATTCCCTTCAACCTTTTTCATAATGTGTAATACATTTTTAGTGACTCCCAACTTCTGGAATTTCCCTGAGTTGACCAAATAAGAGTGTTTTATGCCGCTTGCTGCTCCTACAATGCGTTGGCTCATTTTCATGTCATTGCAATTGAACTCTTCACTTGAGCCAGAATAATTCCTGCGGGCTGAGCTCAGCTTTCACCACTGGTTCTTTCCCGTCACGGCCAGGGGTGTCCCGAAGTGCCTTCCACGCGTGCTGAGGCATGGGTTGGCTGCCTTGCATTTGCCAATAGACTTGTTTGTCCTCGAGCCTGGGCTTCAAAAGGGTTTCCTTCGCTACAAACGGTGCTACTTACCTGACCCAAATTTCACAATCTAATAAAAAGCTGTTGCAATTCCAAAAAAAAAGGGTCAGCCTGCAAAACTCGAGGGGTGTTTTCAGCGTTTTCAAAGGCTGAATATTTTCGCAATGCGGATGCTTATGAACCGTTGGGAATGGCTAAGCAATGGCTCTGAAAGGAAATCTAATTTCATTGACGATTTCAAAACTTCATTGAATCGAGACCATCGCGGTAGGGTTATGGCGAGCTATTGCTTCGGTCTCATTTCAGGAACAGCATACCCTACCAATAATTCGAATTGGACTGTAAACTGGTGGTTGTAATCGTCATAATCCTCAATCGCAAAAAAAATATATAGGGATAAGCCAGTCTGGTTGACTCGTGGCCTGGTCTATGTCGTGAAATACGTCATGGTTTCATGAATACGGTATACTGACCAATATGAAGACAGGTAGTCTAGATTTTATAAGAACTGCCACTCATTCTTTCAATCTCTCCAGTAGTTCCAATCTCTAGCTATTTATTTCATAGAACAGGAGGAAGCAGCAAAACGGGAGCAACAGTTCTTTATTTTCCTGCAAATTATATGAAGAACTTCCAAATCTAGAAGTTTTAGGAATAGCTAGACCTCACCCTAAACGGTGTACTTAGCCAGTTAGCTAACGCTAAGAGCGCCAGGATGCAGCTCACCTGCTTTACAGTCGCCGTCTTTCATGAAAAACCTGTAGTACTGTAATTTGTAAATTCGTGCTACCGTAAAAATGGGCCTCATAGTCCTAATGAATGATAATTCAACCCCTCCCCCCTCTCCTTTGGGACAAATTTTCCTCTTGACTCCATTTTGCAGCCATCCTCTTTCATTCCTGCCCAGGAAACCGCACGAACAACGCGAAAGGCAAGACGGGTTCATCTGCAAGTCGCTATAGTACCAGTTTTGGTCCCGGGGCATAAGGTAAAACACCCAGTGATGGATCATGTTAGAGTCAAGATAGCTAAGAATGGTATTGATCTAAGGAGTGAATGTGATTTGTAACCAGTGATTTATCATATCTCAGGTTTCTGACGGTAGGTGGTATTCGACAGTGACATGTCAAACTCCTAACTCGAACATGATCCATCACTGGGTGTCTTACCTTATTGAAGTGCCGAGCAGGTATGAAACTCGAGCTTCGCGACCGGTTGCATAAGGAGACTGCTCGATTGAATACTTAGTTCCCTCTCGCATTCGCGTGATTGTGAAAAACGGCAGTCTTCCAGATCGGATAGGAAGCGCAAACGTGCTGATGGACTCCAATTGCGGTCGTGAAACAAAACGTCGATCAGACCAAATATTGCACCTTTACGTTTTTCCCATCTTCTGTCGCGTTGAACCGTGAATCCTTTCGCCCTTCTTGTCGTGTGCCCACTCAGCTGTTACCGAAATGACGCGCATTGCCGATCACGTACAAACCTTTCAGTGTTCCTTTGGAAAAACGCCAGTTCAGTTCCGGGCAGCTGCTGAACACAGTATACACACCTATAGGTGCACCCGGTTCCTGCGTCAACGCACGCGAACGTCAGAGAACCGAACGTGAGGACATCTGAAGGACTATAGCAAGTAGTCCAGAAGATTCGAAAGCATGTCGCCCCACTGACCTCATTAGAAAGGATGGGTCCCCATTTTTGAGGTTCGGGACGCGAACGTATTACCAAGCATTCAAGTTGTAGATTTTCGAAAGGTCTATGTTTCAGATCTGGAACGGGAATGAGCAACTTTCACGGATCTCGACATAGGAGGTGTACAAACGATATCCAAACTAATCATGTCAATGCCACTTGTTGAGGCTAGGAAAACCTTTCCAGACAGCAAAAATGCTTTCGGGGCCAATATTAGATATGTATATGCAACGTTGCTCGTTGAATGCCAACGTTGACCCGACGCAAACACTGACTGCTCAACGTTGGACCAACATAGGTCCAAGTGGTCCACCAGACCAATAACGGAGTCCAGGTTTTATTCCATTTCTCCACGTTCAGCAGACTTTCCTTCTCGCGTTAGAATTCTCTTCACGACTCATGGGATTCCCTTACTTCGAGGAGAACTGAGGAACGAGACTCAAAATGTGTCCGTTTTCCTCATCCTACTAAAGCTGACAATCTATATTGCTAATAATGAGAGTTCATAGTAAACTGGACAATCATATTGTTCTTTTACTTCTTGTTGGATTTGGTTTCGAGAAATAAGGCACAGGTGGACTGAAGTCGCCTCGGATTGGGGAGCGTCAATTACCAAGTACTTCCAGGACTCGCGGTATTTCTTTGAATTCCTCGATAATGAACCACTTACGCAACTTTTCATTTATGTGCATTGATGGTTGTCTATACGTGAACCTGGTGCCGCTATTAAAAAACCAAAGCTCTCACGTTTCGAACAGAATACCTTTTAGTGTCAGGTTACGTCCAGGAAAGGGAAGGAGTGAATGATTGGGGACAAAATTTGCCGTAAAATTGCTTTCCGTTCTGCGGTCGTTCCATCTAAAAGTTCTGGAAATCCATTATTGTGCAAGGCGCTGAAAGCGTTTCTTACTCGGCCCTGCTTTCTCACGCACCGTTTATCACACTTTCTCATGCTGATGCAATCGAGAGAAAGCGATGAGCTAACAACAAATTGCGGATCATGTGAAAGTATCACGACTGTATTGTAATATCAACCGCCAGATACGAGTAAGAATCGCTTTTTAATTGTCCGAAACATGCCAAAGAATCTTCTCACATAATCATCCAAGGTGACTTTTTGGGTCTTCCTCTTTCTTTATTACATGGACATCTTCTGTCCTCTCACGACTTTTGCACGCAGGGGATTTCGCTGTCGCGCAAATAAAGGCAAGGTTGCAATTGCGAGACTTCATTTCTCATTCTCCTCTTGCGTTTTTGTGTGACTTGCGTAAGTGGGGGATTCCTTTTCAGGGGGTTATTTTTCGAGGGCAGAATGACCTGTTCGCCGATGAAGCAATCGTCAGACTGAGGCTATTTCCATCTCCGATGATTTCCGTAACATGGGGAAAGCCATCCGAGTGTTGACCCTTCTGTGGGGCAATGTCGGGATCCAGTTCATTTATGCTATACGGGTGGAACAGGCTGTAATGTACACACAGGTTGCATAGGAATTCACTCCTGCGGATTGCATGATACATCACCATAAATGGAGTGTGAGTTCGGGGGAATGTTTAGATTCACGATACCGGATGCATCTGAAGACCTTTTAGCCGTCTTTTAGCACTTACCATAAATTCATTGTGATTCCGAGATTATTAACTTTCTGGCACTTGATACAAAAGCATTACCTCGTTTATGCTTTCGGTACACCACCTAGGACAGTCGAAAGAGTTAGCAGCAACACCTCCATAAATGCTTCTCTTCTTTCTGTCACATAGAAACTACTTAGCACCCTGGCACAACATGTAAGTTCTCTGATAGGCAAGGCTTTGAATCCACCCAACTAATGGGTGCACTCGTGAACACAAGGCAAGCTGCTGACTCATACAAGGCTCTGATTGCTCCAATGTCCAAACCACCTCATCGTCTGCTGATTGAAAGTCGAAAAGGGAGAAATTTACGATACTGGATACTACATCCTTATTGAGGAAATGCACGTAAGTGAATGGCGGACACGACAACAGCGTTTCGACTTTTCCCATCGTTCTCAATTTTCACCGGGCGAATCATCCATATGAAAAGGACGCAAGGCAAAGGTCGATCAAACAACCATTTCCCCATTCCTAAGGTGACCAGACGTCCCGATTTAGGCGGGACGTCCCATTTTCAGACAACCCGTCCCCGTGTTCTCCGAGAACTTATCAGTTCTACCAGCTCCAATTCATATTTCAACGATAATAAATATGGGAAATTGTTTGTGCAACAAATACATTCATATTCTTTTTCAGGAGGTAAGGGAAGTATTTATTGGGGGTCCCGCTTTCGAGACAGAGAAATCTTGTCATCTTACCCATTCCTTCCTTAGGGTACGCCATGAACTTCGCCCAATTGATTCTTGCTTGAGAGAGCGCAACACCAATCAGACTGACGCTTGATTTCAATCCTTCCGAAAAGTGAAGCAGAGAGGAAAATAGGGGCGAAGCCTTGACCAGTGACGGAACCCTTACGGAACTTCCAAATACAGGCGTATGTATGGGATTGTACAGTACTGAATTTAGCCATGTTTGGAAACAGTTCAGTCCTTATCATGTTTTGGCCATTAATTTGGAAACTGTTCAGTTCATGTAATATCCACGGATGCACAAGCATGCACGTTGAGGCCTTCCATATGGCCTGACATCTAGCAGTTTGTTCAATAAATATAAAGTTCTCACAATATAAGCGAGGTTGCGCTCATCCCGCCGCTAAATGTCTCTCAATTCCCCAAATGCTAATGAATGGTTCTGCAGAAGCTTTCACCCTCAACTCGATCATTTCCCACGTACAAACCGAAGGAAGAAAGTCGTTCTAATCAATGAATATGTTGAGAAACGTAACCTAGCTTAAGGAGGCTCCAGGTAATTCTTGCCCAATGCATAGAGAGAGTGAGGTTCCCCTTGTGAAGTGAGTCACAAAAAGGCCTATGTAAGTTTAGATGTTGAGTGACTTTGCCTCTGAGTCTCTGTCTCAATCTGCCATTAATAATGCATGCGGAGGCCATGTACTGTATATTGCAAATTAAGAACCGCATGAGGGACCTGTATATGATAATATAAAGTTACATTTATCCAATATATTAAATATAGCCAAAACATACCAAATTATTATATGTGCCATATACATTGCAGCTAAGCACCATATTTGGGGCTCATATATGAACTATGTATAGCTCCATATTCATTAAGAATGGCCAAAACATTATATGAAATGCATGCGGAGGCCATGTACTGTATATTGCAAATTAAGAACCGTATGAGGGACCTGTATATGATAATATATAGTTACATTTATCCAATATATTAAATATAGCCAAAACATACCAAATTATTATATGTGCCATATACATTGCAACTAAGCACCATATTTGGGGCTTATATATGAACTATGTATAGCTCCATATTCATTAAGAATGGCCAAAACATTATATGAACTGGACGGCTTCCAAATACAGTCTCCCATATATAATTTTTATTTGTATCATGTACATTCAGAACAAAGCACCCCTGTATGGTCATATTTGATATCGCGCATGAAATCTGAATATGGAGTTCCCGTAAGGGAAGTTAATGCTGGTCACTGGCTCAATGAACTGGCAGATCTTCCAGGCCTCCAATCCCAAATATGGCATAGTGCATGAAAACAACAGTGCGAAAAAAATCGAAAGGCAACTCGGCCTTCATGGGGCGAAATCATGGGAGAAGAGACACCCTTAGGAAGGAAAAGTAAGAAATAAAAAAAAGATAGCAGCATACCCCAATGCACTCCACTCCCCCTGGGTGGTTCGCCCAACAACCCACCTACCGCAGTTGTGTCCTTATCGAATTGCACATCCCCCTCCCCGCATGTAAATTTTTGGTTTGCGTCCCCGTATATTCAGCTGTAGTAAGAAGTGAAATTAAGAGCCATATTTCCTGTCAGTCACAAGGCGTCGCCCCCCTCAACCCTTTAAACCAGTGCGTCCTAATCCTCAAATCCGCTCTTGGCCTTGATTGCTTGGCATGACTTGCATGACAAGACATGCATACGATGCACGAGACAGGAATAGTATTGAGGTATGCGCGGACTTCTTGCCATTGATGACTTCCTGATCAACAAGAATTTCCGCATGCGACATGGCATTGACATTTACTCACGTTCTCCCATATCTCGCAATCACAAGCACTATCCTGTCATGAATTACTTCTGGAACCTTTTTTTTCAAGGAAGATACTTGCGTCTTCCTTGCAGGAAATGGAAGAACTCGGGAAAAACTTTGGCAGCAGCAGTTTCTTAGCTCGACTTGGACGGGGAACCAAGTCTTCACAGGAGACAAGCCACAACCTTCGCAAAATGGATTAAACCTTTGCGGGCCAATATATCTTCTCATGGTGGCACCACCAGGTCCAATTTATTTCAATAAAATATATGTGAGTATTGAAATACAGGTTATGTAAGTTACTTTTTCCTCAATAAGCAATCAAATGATTGCTTGAGGTTTAAAATTGGTTTTTAGCGATTATCATGTGTTGGAACATTTCCAACACAGGGCTGGAAGAGGAAACTTCGATCGTCTGAATATTTGACATAAGACGGTAAAGAGTCAAGCGAGTTATTGTACTTTCTACTGGATTCTCTAGATAGACAAACAATGAACAGATATCAGCCAACAATCAGGCATAGTCAAGTATCACCGGGAGTTGTTTTGTTCAATGTATACATCAAACCAACATAACCATAGATGGCTAATACAGCAATATTTTGAGTCATCAGATGAGTTAATACAACAACAGACAAGGAACTGTATCAACCATTGTTTCAATTTCCTGGTGATATGTCATCATTAACATGAATCTCCCAACCCTTCAATCGACAAGACAGTATTGTACCCAGATGTGAACAACTTTGGTAATTTCATTGTCAAAATATGACTTGAAATAACCCCATGGAGATACAGAAAATTGCCAGGAAATACTTGCACTGGGCATATGTAAAGCTGTTGAAGTTTGTGAATCACTGCACTGGGATGACTGAGCTGAATCCATGCAAGGCCATACAGGAGGTCATTCTTCATTGATGCTAACAGTATAGATCCCATTGCTCAATTTCTGCTGCTGTTCTTGTCCATGGAAACTAGCCATGAATTGATCGGAACCGACAACCCTGGTAATTATCTTGTGTGCTCTCACCGGAAGAATCCTGTGGGGGACATATTTCTTACATTTATCAATAATCTAAAAATGCTTTGAGAATTAAGCCCCATGCACATTAGCATCCTTTGGCAAAGGATCAGCATAGGCTGGTCTGAACATGATCATTGTAAATGAGATGAAACCCCAAAAAATTATGCAATGGGCATAGAACACCTAAGGGCTATGATAACACTTTGAATACAGAGATGATGAGGACAATCTCGCTATCATGCACCACTATAGTGGATGACCATCGTCAAGTTAAGAGTTTTAGGACAAATCAAATACCCAAGGAAGACATATTCAAACATGTGATTGGATATTAGGCCAACAATGACAGTGACGTGAACCTGTTTCTTTCCAACAGTCACTGCAAAAGACTATGTGAATGGGGCTTTCAAATTAAAAACGCATCCAGGTAGAGTCAAATGAACAATTGAACTTTTTGAATTTTGAAGGAAAGTTAGTTCCAGATGGAAGTATCAGAAGTCCTTTTCCAACATGCATCCATGCTAATAAAAAAAAGCCCAGCTCCAAAGTTCAGCACAAAATCGCATGCAAGTATTGCCTAAAGGTATATGATGTGAGCCTTTGGGTAATACTGTGAGGGAAAGAAACAAAGTTGCACCTGGCAATTCTTACCATATCAAGATATGATTGCTGTGAAACAGGAATGTATTTAGGGGTGTAGGGTTAGGGGGTTCAAACCTCCCTACTGTGATTGGGGTCACTCCTTACCATAATTTCGTTGCCACTTCTCTACCACTGAAAAAACTTAGTGGTTAAATCTGCCCCCATTGGGCATCACGGTATGATAGAGAACTGGAATGCAACATAACCCACAAGATTATTATTACAAAAATTACAAGAGAAGTAGGAATGACATGCATTTTATATTATTTTCAAGAAACTGACACTTGTTTAATAGCTAATAAATAGGGAATCAGTCATGCAGATACATGAGAATGGAACAGGAGTCGCTCAATTTCGTCATCGTGCATTTCTCCCTATCATCCCAGATAACACGTTACGTTGGGTCCACATCCCATAAAACAAGGCTACGTTGTATCAACGTTCCAAACGTTTATTCAATGTTGATTCAACGTTATTTCAATGTTATGTGTTTAAAATTATTTGCTGGGATTGGGTAAAGGTGGGAAACGTTGACGGAACGTGAATGTTGGGGAACGATGTTGGCCCAATGTGGGCATATCCCCACGTTGAGAACTGCAGAACTCCTGGTGGAGAACTTCAACATCTTGAAGATCTTCGCCAGGCCGCTAGATGAAGGTATGAGTCTCGCTTTTTGCACGGTTCGCAAAAGTTCCCTTCACTCTTTCATAGGAATCAATAAACACGGACATTTCATCATTTGTTATCCACTTATTCAAGATAGATTCATGGAGCTCAGGCCATAAACAAGCTCATGTTCCCGATAAGAACCCTTTTGAAAGGAAGGGAGTGTTTGTGAACTTATTTCCTCATCTCGACGGCAACTGGAGGAAATAAAGGACTGATATTGCGGATACTTTACAGAATCGTACGTGGTTCCATCTTCTGACATGTCCTGTTATCAGTAGTCAGGGATAGATCCAAGTCTGTACTGTCCTATGTCTTCCGCCAATCTAGGACATATATACATGTCCATGGTAGGTTGTAGTACATTGTACAGGTTCCGTACTACAGATGGGAATACCTCCACTGGATAATGAATTTAATATATATATGGTACGAAAATGATGATGGCCAATATTGGGCAAAAACCAGCTATTTGGGTAAGTGGGTTTAATGTTGCGCTTCAACTTCCTGCCAATGTTGGCTCCACATTGGCCCAACGGTCACTTTTACGTGGGGCCTACGTGAATAACCTACTTTGGGCCAACGTATCCTGACGTTGGAGGACTACGTTGGGCCAACGTGGGCCCAACGAAAAATGTTATCTGAGATTCTTAACATGTTTTTCAGGTGATCTGGACATCTTGCACAAGCAAGCATGGTCGAAGTAGTTTCTTTCCCTGACACCTCAAGTATGGCAGGATCCCATCATGCAATATTCATTCAAGAGCACATGAAAGACAGATGAGAAATGAGAGGCACTGCAAGGCTGAGAGCATTCCCTCCACCTTACCTGGAGTTAGAATTAAGAGCCAGAAGGAGGGAAGAGAAAGACAAAAGGGTATCACAGAACCTTCTTGGCTCTGCCAGTGAATTCATCCATCGCTTCACTAGCTCCAAAGGTCTGAAGAAGTTTGAACAGCCCATTGCTAGGCAGGATCCTGGAGCCAGGAGGAAAGGGGACAGAAAAAAGAGTCACATTCCCATTCGCAAGAGGGTTAGATCAGAAAGGGATGAAGCTTATCAGGTACAAGGAAATTCTTTCAGGCAGGGAAGCTTCACTATCAGAGATCAAACTTACGCTTTCAAGAAAAGCAAGAATGATGAATATCCTGGAATGATCACCATCTCCTGATTGGATAGCACTCCAGACATGATCTTGTCAACAACATACTCAGGCTTCAGGATGGGTAGAATGCTTATAAGAATACAACGAAAGAGGAAAAGTCATTGCCTGGCCTTGAATAAGTTTTCAACTTAACATGTTGTCCCAATGTTGAAATGAAACACAGATCAACGTTGAAGAGTTGCTGCTGTGTAACGTTGTGTCAACGATGAATTGTCAACGTTTGGGAATTACAATACCTCCTCCATTTCTTCAGTCTGAACGAGCACTAATATCGATTAGATGACGAGACTTCATGATCGATTAGATTCATAATATTACTCTTTTAAATACTGTCATCCCACGAAGGGATCCCTCCGGAGGACCAGAGTAAGGACCTCTATATGGGATGACAGTACTCTATTGAGTACAAACACCCCGGAGGAGTGGATCAGAATTCGAGATAAGTACTAGAGTGACACAACTCTCTCTGTCCAGCAAAGGAAGTACATTTCTATCATAACTTCCAGATTAAGAAGAGGAGCCAAACACATGCTCGCAAGCCTATTTTCACGCTCTATCGCTCTCAAAAGATCGAATAAGTTCCTAGTAACGCCCTGTAGAGACTTATGAAATTACAGCTTGTTTCCTCGGCCAATAGTACCTGGAGTCTCCTTCTGTCGGGTTACCTCATTAAACGGGTCTATCTAGGAATTCCAAAGCCTGACCTTATGTTGTACGTATAAAAAAAGATCGGGTTCGGTATGAAAAATAAAGGAGACTCATTCCAACAGGAAACTCATTCCACTCATCTTGGTGTCTCGCGCCGATTGGTAGAATCTATTTAAAAGTGGATGTCTCAACCATGTCTCAACATTTCAACCTGTTATCAATGTTGACACAACGTTGTTGCGTCGAATTGGGTCCATCTGCACCAAAATGATCTCTGAGGACAGAATACATCAAAATTTCCCCTTGGGATTTACCAACGATAGGATTCTGCAGAAGCCAGTTCTTAAAGTTTGAAACTGTTCAAATGTTTCATGATGATACCCTCGTGAGAGCCATGCTACTCACCGATGGTAACCACAAAAGAAAAAAAAAATCGACACCTAGTAGTTGAGCTATATAAATGAAATTTGGTACGAGAACCAGCAACCAGTGAGCAATGAAATCGAATTAATTTTCAATATCGTGGTATGACTAAATAGAAAACTCATCAAACACACAAATGTGAAGGAGGTGCGGGGGTCATTCATGCCGGCTGAATTTTTATCCTCACTAGTGCAAGTTCACTCTAGCATCATTGCTGGACGTTGAATCGTCACGAAATGCCAAGGCGACGTCATCTAAAGCACTTTCGCCAGGTTGACCACTTTGGCAGAGGTCGGTCAGCGGGAGGCAGTAAGTGTACCAAGCGACGGATGTCCAATCCAGTGGAATATCGCTACCGGCAGTGGCAACTGACTTTTTACCTGACCCCGATCAAAACTTAGTCAAGTTGGAGAAACAATTTTTGACGGCGACGCCTCAGCATTGCTTCGCAGAACAACACCCGGCAGCAACACGCAGAAGTTCAATAAAACAAGTGATGATGTCGAATGCAAAAATAGCAAGAGTGCAGGAGTTTCATATAAAGTTCCATATACATAAGTACAGTGGAACCTCGCTTAACGAGCATAATTTGTTCCCGAATCTTACTCGTAATGCGGAACACTCGTTAAGCGAATCACTCTGTTTGACTGTATATTCATATACAGTCAAACCTCGCTTAACGAGCACCTCCCATAACGAGTGATTCGCTTAACGAGTGTTTCGCATTACGAGTAAGATTCGGGAACAAATTATGCTCGTTAAGCGAGGTTCCACTGTACAAGATATCGAAGTTGATAGCTCATGGGCTCTTTATTTTAAACATACGACACTAATAGGTCCACATTATGTTTTGGTCCTGTAAAATCCCTTAATTTCTTCAAGCGAAGTTTGGTGCAAAAGTGCAGTCAAATATTTCCAAACATCCAATACATGCGACTGTATATGGTAATTCCGTACGGGACTCGAATACTTCCAACACCTTTCTCTTCAGCGTCAAGCGATTTTTCCTCTGTAACGGATATTTAAATGGCAAAGATTTGACACTACTATAAGTCCCCAACCAAATTTAATCAATACAGCTCAATTCCAAGGAGTTGCTTTTTCTGGCTATTCAATGAGGATTTTAAGAAGCAACTAACCGGCTTTTGACGCCTTCAAACATTCCCGTGTCGATGAAGTAAGGGCAGACGACTGTTGTCTTGATGCCTTTATGCCCATCCATCTGCAAGACGAGAATGCAACCAAGCACATGAGGGGGAGCTCTTCAGAAAGTTCTAATAATAAGCTACTTCCTTTCATCTCGGATTCACAAAACTTTTAACAGAAGTATGACCCCATTTCCAGAAACGTTGGATATAAAATTTCAGTATCGGCTGAATTTCAAATTCGGCTGCATTGACAAAACTTCAATCAATAATTTCTTTGTACGACTGTCGGGGTCGGCACAGCAGTATCAACATTTAACGCTTGATGTGAAGTCAAACCCGTCTTCCAACCATCCATGAATGGTTTTTCAAATATCGACATCTTTTAACCTTCGTCTGAAGGTGTAACCCCCTCTACCCCAGTTGTCATCGACTGAAACATTAGTGCAACAGAGAAGTTTATCAAAGACCTCCCATCACTTCTCAGATGCTACGAACAGCTGGGGAGCGATTTGGGACACCGTACAGCTTCACTTCCGAAAAAAGAAATCTGAAGAGAATTCCATGGTGAGGATTTTCAAGAAGCGTCCAGTTCAAGCTTGAAAATCTTCGACGCTACTGCATGCATTCCTATGAAACTAGACCTCCGTCAGGTGATCTGGTGTCGTATTTCATAGAATGAGCTGACAATGCAGATATTTTGTAGTCAGCATACTTTCATAAGAGACTTCATTAACTTATGCCATTCAAGCGCGCATGATGCACGCTCGGCAGGATTCGAAGCGAGCATCCAAGTGGATACCCAGGCCCTCCAGGCTGGATTTTCAGTTTCATCCTAATGGGTACTCTGACAATGCCCCTCTACGCACTCTATTTCCCACACAGAACTGGGAGTGCGGAATCAGGTTGCCTCGCGCAGTATACTAAAGAGATTTCAAAGTGAATGTGTATGTCCCGAAAAGTACATCACACCTTGGAATTGCTGAGGATCCTCGCAGGGTCGATGCCGGGAATGCTTTTCGGGAGACAGAACGGGTGGAAGTGGGGGAGGGTGGGGGTTGGTAGGTGAGTGGCTGGGGAGCATGAAGAAATCTCCTTCAGCCCCTTGCCCTTTCTCTCTAATTCTTGGGGAATCACTTATTTTATTTTCATTTTATTTATTCTTCTGTGCCGTGTCTGAAAAAAAAGCAAGACGATTGGCTGCTGATTTTGGAAAGATCCAAAATGTCTCATAAACCGAGAGGCCACCAATGAGTCTTGGGCAAAGGTAGGTATAGAACCAAAGCTAAGCATTAAGAAGTTCATTCAAGTATGTTAACTGGATAAGCAAGAACCATTGGTAAAGTCGATATGTTGGTAGTTTACTAGTTTACAACTCGAAAAATTCTTCGAAACTATCAAGTTGCACGATTAAATGTGGCATAAACATATCTCTTAGATCAAGGAAGAGCAAATAATACTTCGTTTAAAAAAACCTCAAGTATTAGTTCACAGTAAGCGTTGAAGCGCGAATGAAGCCAGTACGTGCAATGAAGGTTCTCGTTGCATAAGCGGCTGTAAACAGGCAGCCTCGATTGCGAGTGCATTCCTGTGTCATGTCATCTTTGACGGGATGCAATCCTCTCCAACCTTCAGGGAGGCAGAGAGAGTGTATTTATGATAGCCTTGATTTTAGCCTTATGACTAGCTTCATGAAATCTTGATCCATTTCGGGAATTGTCCAGATCCCCTAGGCACCCCCTACCCTTCCTCCGGCTACGCTTCCGGATCCTCGTCACGTTTTCTTTTATCATTTTACCATTTTAAGAGCAAGAGGTCAGGCAGAGTTGTTAGTGCGCAACAAAGGAACTTTCTTTCATCGAGGCGAATGAGGTAAAATATGGGCATTTTATTTGTAAAAAATTATTAATCGCCTTGTTGGAGCATAGATGCGGAAGAAAACTATAGAAACACAGTAATGAGGGTAAAAGTTGATTTAAAAGCCTGCATCTCTGGAAAACCGAAATTCCCTTTCAGCGAAGCATTCATAAAGCGACAAAAAAAAAGAAAATAATATTTAGGAAAATGGATGCCACTGCCATTCACTTGCGCGCGTACTTTGCTAAGGCTATGCAATCTTCAACTCCACTATTATCACTTTTACTGCATGACATGAAGCGGAATACGAGAATGAAAAATAATGGAAAGAATGTTCCCTCCTGTTCTCAAAGCGATTTAGAAGCGATTTTCAGAACGAAAGAAAGTGTAGTTTGTGCCCCATAATACGAGTAATAGTACACCAAGTGACAAAATATTATTGATTCACCTGGAGCCAAAGTTATCATCTGCGCCAAAAACAACTATTGGACTTATTACGGCTGCCTCCAATTCCTTTAAATGTGCCACTGGGGATTCTTCCAAAGGATCATTGTGAGTGTTGCTAGGATGCAGGTGAATTGATTAATCGATGGTGAATCGAGGTCGAATGGAATCGATTTTCCTCTCTTACTACAGGTCCCATCCACTCCACACAATTACCTCGTCTAGGCATTCGATTCGCCGAAAGACTCCTTCGGAATTAGATGGAAACATAAATGTCCGAACTAGCAGGCTAACTGTTCGATCATCAGGAAGGGTGAAACTGGGCAAAGCCTAAAAAGCAATACCTCGAACTGCCGCCATGAGAGGCATGTAGAGGAGGCAGAGTGAAGCTGAAGAATGAATGGGGAATTCAGGGTCCACTGTTCCCCCAAGCAAATACAACAGTGATCAATTGTCTTCCACGGTCATGTTTCAGCCATATTTTTTTGCGGTACAGAGCCACTCTCATACAGCTATATCAAGTTGATTCCGAGTCTTTCCTCTCGAAATGCATACTCGCAAACCTTGGACCTCCATTAGTTTCGCCACGGTTTGATAATTAGAGGCCGACGGTGAGTAAGAGCAGGGCAAATTAGCTCAAAGTTTGTTAGCTGCCTACCTGCACGAAGGCGGAGTGGCTCTTCAACTCAAAATTCCATTCCGTTTCAATTACAGTTATATCCGGATTCAATTCTTTTACGCGATTTATTTCCATTCAAGTCGTAAGCGATACATGTGGTACTCAAGTGAACAGAGAGGGAGGGAGCCACACAGGACTCGTCTTTTAATAGACCCCTTATCAGTGGCGGCTCGTGATATGCAACAATAGTTATTCAGGGAAGACACGGGAGACAGGCCTCCTCTGTCTTCCACTGACGAACCACTTCTGCTGCATACCACGAGTCGCCAATGAACCCTATATTCTCCGGCATTATTGTTCCATTTCTGATATCTATGGATTTTGTTAGAGCTAAGAATAAGTGATGACTTCCGCAGTGGATAAAGTTCGAGGCATTGCACCGCATGAAATCATCACATTCAACCGTTCACGGATAATGTCCTTCATAAGACGTGCACTTTTGGAAGGGATCCAGAAATTTTTGCGTGCGAAATCTTGGATGCATTGGGAGTAGAGAAATTGACTCGAACCAATTGCTACGGTTTTCAATAAGATTCAGAGTGTCTTTTGAGAGGAAGGACAAGTTCCAGATGAAGGCCTGGATGAAAATCCGATCCTTCGACAAAAAAAAAGTAAGAGAAACGGGAAAGTGGTTATTAATAGACTCCTTTTCCTTCCACTGTAGTGAGCGGAATTTCTGTAGGTGGAAAGCCGGTACATCTATATATATCATTTTCCCTTTCTTTCGAGATGAAAGCCTCTAGAAACTTGACTCTCTCCTCCTGTGACCGAAAAATTTTCTTCTGCGGATATTCATTCCACCTTTTCAGAATCTCCCTCTGAAACTAATTTTTGAGTCGCACCTCAAAAAGTACAATCATTCTCACCTGGTCTCACCGAGAAAAAAACAACACTTTTTTTTACCACTTAAGTAATGCTATACGCAATCGCTTTCACAGGCTTACCATTCCAAATACTTGGATACTAAAATACTTATAACCCTATAAACCTCTTTAGGTATGAGAAGTGAGCTTCGGAGATGAGGCCGAAATGTGCACCTTGAGCTCCGTGCGAAGAGCTTCGTCGAATCCAATGGCAGCGAATTTGGAAGCGCAGTAGTCGACGAGTCGATTCACGCCCCAAAGCCCGGCCAGACTTGCAATGGTTACCACGTGGCCTTCACTTCTCTTCAGCATCCCTGGCAAGAATGCCTTCGTGGTCTGCGGAAAAAGAACAAGCATCGTTGTCAAATTTCTAAGCAAAACTCAGCGTCGGATCGTGCAGAGATCAGTCCGATCGGTCCCGTCGAACGCCGATGTGGGGAGCGACCCGATCGGTCGGGTCGTTCGCCAGGGCCGACCCCACGGTTCGAGTACCCAGAAGTGGGCGTTGACGTTCACGTCCATGGTGCGTTGGATGGCATCGTCGGAGCACTCCAGGAATCTCTTGCCGGTCACGATCCCGGCGTTGTTCACCAGGATCGTCACTTTCCCGACTTCTTTCTCTACTCGTTTCGCCGTCTCGTAGATTTCCTCTCGGTTGCACAGATCCACCTTGTACGCATAAGCTGTTCCTCCCTCTGACTGGATCATCTTCACAGTCTCCTCGTTCCCTGCCGGCAAATGTAATTCAATTCCTCTCTTGGTCTCAAGCTGACCAGAATAATCATGAATGAAAAACCGGTACTGTTTCAAAGGGCAAGGACCGGTACTGTAATAAAGAGTGGTTGACATCCCACTTGAACCAGCTCTGCATTAAATGGACATATTTTTAAATCCTTGATTTCTGTCTTCCAGGTTTGAGAGCTGATACTCATATCCAGAGAATGAACGTGCAGTGAGATTTTCTTATCAAGTCTCTTCCACTTAGTGAACTACTTAGAGACTACTTGTCTCTTTTATCAAAATGGCAAACACCCCGCACCCCCCAGTAAAAAAAAAAAAGAACTTGGAAGGACGTCCTACTGCAAACATGGCAAACTTCCCAAGCTTTCTTCCTCCTTTGAATTATTTCTTCCATTAATTTCAGCTAGTATGGGTCGCTTCAGTGTTAATCACATAATTCGGAATGATACGAAGTCATTCATGTGAAGCTTGGAGGCAACTTCCTTGAAGCTGATCACGCTCAGAGTAAATTTGCAGTTTACCTACGAAAGAATTTCTGCATTCTCGCCTTCAGTAGTCGAGGCTAGTTCTTGCAGCATCGGTTACAATCCCTGTTGTCTCGAAGTTCTCAACCAATCACAGCGTCGCTGCAAAGGAATTCGCCAGTAACATCCTACAAGGTTCAGGTAGGGATGTCAAGAGGCATTCCTCCCCATTAGGACATCCCGTGTCACGATCGAGCGTTCCGTTATCATCCATGTCCATATCATGAGATAAACCTGTCCCTCTAAATGATAGTTATTTTTGTGGGAGCATACCCACCTCCTGCCTAGTCACTAACATTGCTCCCTTTTTCGCTCTGTTCGTTTTTTTTTTTCCCGCGTTGTTCCCATTTCCTGCTTCCTTTTTCGCTTTGCTCATGAAGGAATCTAACCTTCTCTTGAAGCCAGTCACGGCGCGAGGCAGCCACTACATCAGTGGTCGGCAACTGAATTTCACAGGGGGCCGGATGACGGAATGCTGCATGTTCGGAGGCCTAATCAAGTGTCAGTAAAATTTTGATTTTTATTAATGTCTAATGTAAACGTCCAGCCGAACGGCAACTGTCAGACCGTAATGTGCGATAGCCAGGCCTTCGCGGGCCAGAGGAGGAGCTTCTGCGGGCCGCCAGTCGCCGACCATTGCACTTCATCGTCACTTAACGCATTCTACGCGTTCGCTACCCGACAGTAAAGAAGTTCTGTCGCAATAGGCGTCTCATCTGAAGTTTACGCAACATAAGTTGGTTCCCTCTGGTTCTGTTGCTGCCATCGAACTGGAAAAACCTATAGCGCTCTACGTTATCGATTTCCTTTCATTCAGGCTCTCAGGACTTGTGCAACACATTTATCATTTTTACAAGATAAGTCAACAGATTTTATTCAATCCTCCAGTGACAGGAAATCACTGGGGAAAAAGCTGTTTGTTCATGTACGTTTGCTCACCTAATGGCATCAGTTTTCAAACCTGCAAAACAGAGTTTAAAAAGAAACTTTTTCAACTCACTTTTTAAAGAATGGTCATGCAAATCCTATTCCCACAACTGAGCTCACGCTCGCACAGAAACTCCAAAAAAGGCACATACCCTTCCACTCTCAAGGCCTTTGGGTGCAGAAATTTCTATACATAACGGGCCAGTACTTTCAGAAATCGGTGAGTGCGTGGCTGGAGATCTGCTTCTTGTTATTGTTATGGTGGTCGGATAGGAGCAGTTCATTCCAGAGGAAAAACGAAAAACCACAACTTTTGAGAAATGAGGTACGGATGGACTTGTGTCAGTTCAGGGATGTACCTTCAGGAGATCTCAAGCACTTATAGAGTACCTCAAGTTTTGAAAATGAACGTATCATCATAAACAGAGGTAGAGCAAAATCCTGTATGTTGGGCTTGATATATGGAACCTTGCCTTGAGGTATCCAAGTGTATTTTGAGAGTTTCAAGTACTGGTCTAGTAGAAAAGTACTGATAAGTTATTTTATGTCCAGAACACACGTATCGCATTAAATAAAATGTTTACAACAGGAATCTCGCAAATGTGGCATCCAGGACTAGAATCCAAAAGATAGTGCACCTTTACTGGGCCTCGAGTAGGCTATTGAACTGATATCAACAGGTGAGGCGATTGCTTGCGCCATCTTGCGGATTTTTTGGGGGGCGGCAAGTCCCGAGTTAGGCAATACTGAAAAATACTTCCGGTGAAGTGCTGCATAATTCTAACCAAATGAAGCATATTTGGACCTGACCCAGAGTCTTGGTTCTCTTTGCTTTGGGGGACGTCATCTAAAAGTTTCTTATTCCGTTTCGTACTGAAACTTTTCGAACTTCTAGTGCCAGTGGTTCAAGCGTATTGCAGAGGGCTGAAGAAGAGAATGCGCAAAACGCCGATGGGAAGAAGCGAATCAGTATTCCGATAAGGAAAAAGCCATAGTTGCGATAAAGCAGAAGTCAATGGCCTTGGTACCGAACAACAGCTCCCTCCCCTGCTCGAGGCTAAGATTCGATCATGCACGTCGGAAGTACAGTTGAGACGAAGCGGTTGCTTCTTATCGACAGGGAATCGGGTCGAGGGGTCTTTCCTTGTGCTTTTCCGGGGATATCCCACCTCCTCTTTCGCGGAACCTCACTCGAGAGCTTACGTCTCCGCCTGAGGGACATCGACCTCGAGAGTGCCTTTCGTTTCGCACGTTTTCGGAGGGGCTGGGGAAACCGGGTTCCTGTGTATCTCGACCGAGAAAGTAAACAACATTCAAGGAAGAAATGTGTCACACGGATATCCCGTTGTATTGTGACAAGCCGATGACACAAGGCGACTCCCGCACTTGCTCTGAGCAGGGCCGCGGAAAGGAATTGTGGGGCCCGAGGCAAATCTCTAGGTGAGGGCCCCTTTGAACCTGTGAAACTGGGAGGGGGTAGGGGTGCTGGCGTGGGGGGGCCTCTCGGGCATGGGGCCCGGGGCAAATTGCCCCTTTTGCCCCCCTCTACGGGCCTGTCTCTGAGAAGAAAGTAGCCATAGCTCACATTGTGGTGAACGGAAATTCTGAAAGTGCTTGTTTGGAGTAACCTAACCTCATCGGATGCCCTTGGAACGTGACACGAGATGTAATCCTGAATCATAGTATACCCCACTTGAACTGACCTGAAGCCGATCCCCAAACACGTGTTGGCGATCGGTCTCCGACTAATCGCGCAATCTCAAACACCGAATGCAATAAGTGGTCGAACTATTTCCCCCTAGGAACCAGTTGATAGCTTGCGTAATGTACAATATTCAGCTAGATGATTCAATCACCAAGTCACGGAAAGTAGATCACTGGAAATAATAGTCAAGCAACGTTATGAAATATTGATGAGTGATGTTGATGTACCACATCGATCATCCTCAGGGGGCTTCCAAGTTGGACTTGGATTTGAAAAGCTGAAAATGTGCAGCGCACTTGGAGAGTTTCGAGAATAGATGCGACAGAGCAACTTTTTCTGGCTAAGATACCAAAGTCATTCAAATGACTCGTGCGCGTGCTTCTCATAGCTTTCACTATTCCAATTATGGCCATCATGATAAGATTACATTAAATTATACCATGAGACGGCGTTAACAAGCTACCAGTCATAAATGCCTCGTTACTGATAACTATACCCATACACGTTTCTCTTTCAAGGATTTCACGTGAAGCTGAAGTAATGGCGAAGTTCCTGTATCCGTTGCAGGGCTTCAGAGTCAGTGCATAGGGAATACCAGATGACTAATTCTATAGTACTGCATCGAAGAACTAATTACCCGAGTCGTAATTTTCAATCCCAGTAAGAGAGCCGGATTTGCCAGCCCTTGGAAACAATTTCACAATGTGGAACCCCTGTCCTCTTTCTTGCATAGAATAATATATGACCCCTCGAGAACAACTGGATTACACAAACGAAAAACTCTTGACGATCTGCATGGATGTCGCGGAGACGGTGGGGAAACTTTCGCATACTAGGACGGCTACGCCAGGCAACTCAAATGCATTTCGTGGCGAAAGGAATTGCATGTTCCACGTGCCGACGCGATCTCCTCTGCTAGGCGGCTGGCCTCACAAGTGGCCGAAAACACCCACGAGCTGCTGCAGCATTTCCTCCACTGCGCAACGTCCATTGGCGAATGAAGTGCTTTTTTTGCACTCGTGGACTTCGCCATCGCGGAGCAGACGAGTGGTCCTACTTCGATCTCCAAGAACTCTGCCTGCTTCGTGATTGACGGAGAGGTAGCTGTCCGTGGAATGCAATCGCTCCGATGGCACAGCAGAGCAGAAGCGTTCGATAACAACGCGTGCATTACCTGTGGTTGTAATCCATTGCTGAGCATCCTTGCGCCTTCCAAAATACCTTTTAAATATCCGTAGATAGCCTTCAGTCATAATGGTGGTCCTGATTAACCCTTTCGCTGCGGCTGTCCAGTATACTGGTCCGGCGTGTTTAGTAGACTGGTAGGCATTTGAAGTAGTTAACAGACATCTAAAGGTAGAAAATATATATGTTAGAGAGAAAGATTAGGGGTGGATTTTTGAACAGAGCACTACCCGATAATGCAGCTTTATATACCGGATTTATCATGCATTTTCTCTGATATAAAGCTGCATTATCGGATAGTGCTCTGTTCAAAAATCCACCCTAAATGATATTTGTAAGGAAATTCGTATAATTTACTTCGGGATCATTTTTTTTTATCGCTACGGTAGGAAGCGCGCTGAAATCTCAGCACAGGCGGGGTTATTTAACACTCAGTAGTTAAAAAGTTAAGGGCTCCACGTGAAGTTCCCAAGGAGAGTCGGTACACCAATCTCAAGCGACAGGTATTCGACATTACTGACCGGATCAGTTCAGAACCGGACTATTACCATCATTGAACAAATCAAGATACCGCAACTGGTTATTCCATTTTTATCCCTGCCACTCCCTTCCTCCCCTTTATCCCCTTTTTGATTTATTTTAATTTCACGTCTTTCCAAATAATTTCTTCTTAATTTTAAAATAATTTTAATTTCGCTTCCATTGATTGTTTTTCCTTTACCGATCTCTCTCCTCCAATGACAGAAGCCTCGATTCTCCTACACGCTCGGCCAAAATGAATCCAAAACCAACAAAATCGATTGGAAGGCGAAACTCGTGTTTCATGTTTCATGTTTCTTTTCCTATACTGACACCTCTAAATGAATTTAATTTAAAATTTCCCGTACCTGACCCACGTACACTTGAGGACAAAACTATGGCTGCCAACACTTCCTCAAGTCACATCTGGAGTCCATCTCATTTTGGGGAGATTAAATCGATTTTGAGGGTCTCCTGAACCGAAGGGCACAACTCTCACGTTTCTTCCTCCGGAACACCCCGATTTTGTAGGCCACCATTAGTTGTGATAGCCGTCGCCCAATTCCTACTTATGGACTTGGATGAATGCGAGGCCTCAGGACCAGGGTACAGCCTGGGCTTGCTTTTTCATCGCCTTTTTCTTCTCAGAGCAAAACCCGGAGAATCCCGGTCTCTCGGCATCCTTCCCTAGCTGGTCGGGAGGAAGCGGGTGAATCCGGGAGAGTTGGCAATCCTAGTGCAAACAAAAGAGGGGGAAGAAAGACGAAGAAAACCCCCTCTCGATGAAGACGAACACTTCACGCGAGGTAAGGAGCATGCATGAAAGAAAGCCATTTTCAGGAAGGTGTGGCACGGTTACACGTTACATTCGCACTCCCGGAAGTTCAGTGCTATTCAAGAGGGGAAAAAAAGGCGGAGGATTGGAGACAGGGCCGGCCCTAGCTATTTTGGCACCCTGTGCAAAGAGACTCCCAACGCGTCGCGTCCCCCCACCCCCCCTCTCAGAAGGGAGAAAGGTCAACCCCTAGCGTTCAAAAAGACACCGAAACGGAAGGCATTTCCACTTTCTCAAGTGGCAGCCATTATTGCTTCATTCATTCTGGTACGTTTTGGCGTCTCTGGTGAATTTGAACCCTATACTGGGGCACATCTGGCACATGCCTAAGGCCGGCCCTGATTGGAGAAATCAAAGCTTCTTCCTGGGAGCGGTGAGTGCGACAGTTCCCACCAGAGCATGCTGCATAATTCTAACCAAATGAAGCATATTTGGACCTGACCCAGAGTCTTGGTTCTCTTTGCTTTGGGGGACGTCATCTAAAAGTTTCTTATTCCGTTTCGTACTGAAACTTTTCGAACTTCTAGACCCCCCCCCCCCCCCCCCCCACACACACACACACACACACTCAGCTCAAGGTCGCGGAGATCTTCTTTCAAAGTCTCCGTTATTCCGACTCCCCTTCCACGACCACCTTTCATTATCACTCTGAAGCCCTTCTTTCAAGGGCATTTCTCGACAGTCTTTCATCCACTGACTGCGACTAATCGCGTCGGGCGTTGTGCAACGAGGACGAGACATACATTTCCTGGTTCAAAAGCATAAACACTCGAGAGTCGCAAACGGTGGGGTAAGATCAATACGAGACCCAGTTGCATTATGCGGGCTCACCTTGGGCATTCACGTCCCAAGTGACGACTTTGCAGTTGAGACGGGAGAACCTGAGGCACATGATTCGTCCGATCCCGGAGCCACCGCCGGTGACGAGGACCACTTGACCGGAGATGTCCTTGTATTGAAATCGCAGCGGCACGAGCCAGAGCACCAACGATTCCAGCCAGTAATAGGGGATGAGGACCGTCCCCAGCAAGACATCGCCCACGATATCCAGCACCATTTTCCTAACCTCGAGAGATGGCACACGACACGAAGGGTACTGACGAGGCAGTCAGATCAGATGCCGAGGCCTACGAGAGAGGAGGAGGAGGAGAAGGAGGGGGAAGGCCTGTAGGAGACCTGCTCCTAACGCATGTTATCTAATCGAGAAGGAAATAAGGGCAGAGTCCGAATTCGCAACCTAGCCACGACGAATCACGAGAGAGAGTGGTGGCTCGGACTTGGGCCTGCGCCTCGCACTGTGTGATCCCCCTCGCCTTGCATCCCGCCGGTCTCGCCTAGCATTATTTATGGGGTCGGCAACCGCATGGATACAGAGAGGGGGAAGAAGGGGATGAGCGACGTTATTCGTTGAACGGGGAAAGCGGAACGGCCACTCTCTACTCTCGGTGCGGTACTGTCACTCGAAAGACCTCCCCTTGTCCCCTGACTACGCATTCGCGAAGTTCAAGGTTTACGACCTTGTTCAAAAGATTCATTGCTCTCCGCCGTGATCAGGAGACGACAGATTCTTCCGGAGGGGAGGGGAAGGCTTATTCCTTGTCGGGTGTTTCAACATAAAGTCTGGTACGTTTCATGCTAGATTGCGACACGTGAAGTACCAGGCTTCTCTCTTTTTACAAAGCAGGGTCGGGTCGCATGACCCCTCGAAGTGAACATTGAGACATACCATAACCTTATAACTGAAAATTCATGAGGTTCAGTGAAACTGAATCCGGCGTTGGAGGTCTAAACGTGAATTCGATTTTGAATACGAAGAGCATATGTTGCAATTGCGTCTTTTTTTGCGCACGCAGGTTGCATTCAGGCATGCAGGATCCATGCATCGCACATCGCTCGTAGCAGCCGATTGAGTGTTCACGAAAGCGACTCATGGGAATGGAATCATCTGCATTCTCCTTCGATGCTGCCTCCCCCCCCCTCCCTCCACGAATTTTCCTTCTTCCAGGCTCCTCAGATTTTAAAGAGGGAAAAATAAGGGCACGGGGAGGACGAGTCGAATAAACAGAGGAAGCTGCGGTCAAGGGAAGTGTTCGGCGAGGATAACGAGGAAATGACTAGTGTACCATGACGAAGCTCTCAGACGCCGCAGTAGAAAAATCCCCGAAATGTCGCTGCTGAGGGTGAATGATGGCTTGGAATGTACCCAGAACCGCCCCCGAAATGGCGCTAACCACATCTCTGTAATTTCCATTGATATTGAATTTCCAAAATTCGTTGAATGTGCTCCGACGATTCTGATACATTTTGGCTCATGTGCTGGGGTGGAATAGTGCGTAAATCGGAGAAAGTGCTCGGAATAAGGCTTGGAAATGAATCACTGCGAGCAGTGGAGAAGATATTAAGATTGCTCACAAGACCAGAATAGAGGGTTACCATATTTCGGACAGTCAAAAAGAAGACGCCCAGCAGTCGGATGGAAATTTGAAAGCGAAAAAGGACATGTCCAGGGAAAATATCCAGACATGGTAACCCATAGGACGCCTTGTGAAAAACCGGACATAAGACATTTGGGCCATCTTCTGTAAAGTAACCCAACAGATGATGGCCCAGAAAAGTAAGGACTTAGATATCGGAGGGAAGTGACATTTTCGGGGTACACCGAAATCCCGCGCCTGCTTTATCTGCTTTATGCCGGTAATCTTACTTCCGCGTATTCTTTTGTAAGTTCTGGATTTCCATTGAAATATTACAGACAGAAAGACCGGTCCACCTTATCCTTGAATCGGATAGACCGGTCTAGGTCTCTCTGTCTGTAATACGTAAAAAAAAAAAAAAAACTGAGCGGCTCTGAGGCAGCAGATAGGACAGATTTTTTCATCTTTTCCTGGCTCTTCTGGTCGAGAATCTTGCCATTCTTCGCATTTATTCCATGTTGAACCATAGCATTCGAAGAGAGCTTTCCAATGATATATGTCGCCGTGATCGAGAAACGGAGTTCAGAGCATTCAACAAGAAGACAAAGGGCTATATTCACTGAAGAATCTCAAGGCAGCGTTTTTTTTTTCTTGAATGCGACATTGCAATAGAAAGAAGGAAACTTGCCAAGGAAATGATGGAAGTGGAAGTAAGATTTCCAGAGCTAAGTTGATAAATTTGGGGCAGGATTTTTTTTTCAAATACTTTTTACTCTCCCACTAACAACCCTACTACTCGAACATTCGACACCCGTTGCAATACCACTGAGTTCAGCCACTTTGTTCCTAGATTGTAGTTGCACAACCTCGACCAAGTCGCCTTTCGGCCATCATCACCAGAAGTCATCGGACCCGATCGAATCAACGACTCGACCAGGGCTGCTCAGTCGAATCTCGAGGACGAGGCCGACTCGATCGACCTGCATGACCTCGGCACGCGGTCCGACCCCTTTGACCGCCTTTTTGTCTCGACAGCGTTAAAGGTGGATACGTAGAGCCAAATGATTTTCGATAATCCATCCGGCTGCACTTCCCTGGGATTCGTATCGGTCCTCCTCATTCTTGAGTCCCGACTCGGGGTCGGGGGTCTTCCGATGTTCCCATACTCAACTTAAATAATTGGTAAGCTCGTGCGACGGCGACCGTGAATGTGGCCTCGACAGCGATCCTACTTTTTTATTCCCTCGATGCCTGTCAAATTATTCTGTTTTATGATTTTGCTGAGTACTTCCCCTGTACACGACCTCGACCTGTACACGTGAATACACGACCCCGGACCCCTGGACTGGACCGTACCAGCTCCCATTTGATCTTGACTTTCGCCTGAATATGCAGGGGAGGCGCTTCTGACCTCGTGGATTCTGAATCCACGAGGTCAGGAGCGCCTCCCCTGCCTTACCAAGTAATCCAAAGGATTACAAATTTACAGGCACCCCACTTCGAGGTTTGCTTGCATGTATAAATTCATATTCATAACGCTTGGGCTAACTGTGAATCGATGGTCGAGGCACACCTAGCGGTAGTGAACCCCCAGGAAAAGCACGTAAGAGTAATTTTCCTAGTGGACGTGCGTAGAATCTTGATTAGCTGCTTGAATTGCTGCTCACAACCTAGGTAGCTCACTTCCTTCGGCTCAGTGGTAGGGTGTCATCGGCGCGAGCGGGATCAGAGGCGAGAGAGTGGCAATGCTAGTCGAGAACCCTTCGGAAATGGATCGTATCGATCCGCGTCTTGTCTTTCCAGAAGCAAGGCCGGGAGCGGCGAGCTGACTCGACGAGGTAGCAAGGAGGCGTGGGACTCCGTTGGGCAGTGTCATACGAATGGTGTCGGGCCACCGGTTCCATGGCGTGTGGTCCGCCTGAGTTGTGCTACCTGGGTACGATAGACCGCATGTTGATCGAGACGATTCGAATGCATTCGGTAGAAGTCCATCAGCAGCAGGAGACTGCATGGATTTCTATACTAAGTCGCAAAAAGCTATGCGTATGGAGAGCGTAAAATATGTAACTTCGTCTGTTAGGATTGGGGCTCCCAATGATGAGCAACAATCAAGAATGAAGGTTTCCTTCCATTATGATGTGTGATGTTTTGGGTGCATGAACGCGAATGAGAGTTGGCTGGTCCTCCATTCTATTGGGGTCATGATCCACACTAATGGAAATAGAACCATTTTCGGAAGAGAATGGGTACGTAAGAGATCCAAGTCGTTGGCTTCGTGGCATCACTTTCGTCGAGTTCGCTCAAGACAATCTTATCTTAACCAGTTGGAATCGCGAACACAATTGCTCGTGGAGCGCCTCGCCCTGAGCCACTGGCGTCTCCAATGCTCTCACCATCAATCCATTGGCTCATTGCGGTGTCTTGCATGGTGGAAGGCGATTCCTAGACACAGGTATGTACGCTGCAGTAAAGAAGAGTTGTAGCTAACGTCATGTATTACGCGGTAATATTTCAAATGGTCTTTACATTGCACTCACGCCTCAATGCTCTATATACAAGAGACTTGGAATCTCATTGTTTCAGCGTATACAAAAAACTTTCCTGCATTGTTTCCTCCACACTCAAGATGTCCCTGGCTTTAGTTAAAACTCCGCAATATCTCAGGAACACGCACTGAACCTGACTTTGGCAGAAAATCCTTTGCAAGGAAAAATATGCCTTGCTCGTATAGCATACTTAATTAATTTTAGGGGCAGTCGAGAAACGCAAACCTCTCAACGAGAAGAGCCAAGGCGCATTTGATCGATGAAGAGATATATATTTCTGACACTGTCTTTCTTTGTGTCTGCAGAATTGACAGTATCTGGTGAGTTTTGGGGCCAGGTGAGGTGCAAGCAGACTCGTCAGAGGACAGAACGATGTCAAGCAGACGACGCGATCGAGTTACCGGTCCCGGAGCCGGATCCGTGACGTCATTATCAGCTGTGTTCTCGTGGCAGTGTCTGACATGGCTGCCTCTGATATGGAGCTCATCATTCTCTGCAAAAGAAAACTTCAGAAGTATGTCGAACTTCGAGACGAAGAAAAGGTCTGACTCAAGTAATTTTCTACAGAATAGCCCCCAACCTATATTCGAGTTGTCTCTCTTGCCTTGTTTCTTCCGTATATGCCTAGGCCCAATGTGCGAAATTCGATTACGTGCGATGTGAGGCTGCCGTTCTTGGACAGGTAGCTCGCATTACAAAACCTAACAATTTGTTGCTCACATCAATCGGTTTATTGTGAGATGTAGGATATCTTGCTTTGGGTGACAGAATTAGACTTTATTTGCGTAATATACTATAAACTCATTCTTCATTCTTGCTTTTAACGTTAGCTGAAACGTCTTGAAGGTTTAACGTTAACGACCAGTAAGTGCAATTTTCTGTATGCTTGAGTTCGATTGCTGAAAGGGCTCCAACTCTCATGAATGAATCTTATGCATTGAAGGTGGAGTCAGTTGAAAAGAACATCGCCAAACTTTAGGCTCATTCATAAGCCTTGTGCCCAGGTCTTACGCCTTACGCCTAGTATGATAACGTTAGGTCTATGAAGGCCTTGGCCTACTCAGTATAAAATCTCAACTGTAAGCAGGTATCAATTCCAGTTGAACCACAACCATAAATACTGACCCATTCCAGCTGGAATGGCTGGATCCAGGCTGGTTTCAAGCTGGAACTTCCTTGTTGAATTGAATGTCATTAGCTTTTTCCTCATTAATGCCAGTTGCTGCTGAATTACAGCTAAAAAATTCCCCAGTTAAGATTCTGGTGAAAACAGCTAAGATTTTAAATTGAATAGACCTAAGCTTAATGGAATTAGCCTGGGCCTGAGTTCTTAGGCTAACATTCTTGGTCTGTGCTGACACACATATTCTGTGTTCAGATAAAGACCCTATTCAGTTTCATAAAGCTGTTGCTAGAGCTTTTATAGCTCTGGTTGCCATATTTCTTGCCTCTAAGGTAAAGGCATTAGGCAAAGTATAGCATATGATTTCTTAGGTAATTACTGTCATTAGAGTGGTATTCAGACAACAGCGCTCAGCATCAGATATGTACTTTTTCATTTGTTAGTGATTACTTTAGGATCCACTACCACCATGCACAACACAATGCACCACATGGAAAATTTTGGGATGAATTAAGAAAGTGTGAAAAACATGCTTATAACATGCAGTGAATGAGCTAAAACTGATTCCATCCCCATCTCTCATGATGGTGCCCACTTGAAATGAAGTTTAAGTGTGTACCTAGTAGGCTGAAACAATGGATTGCTTGGTATATGATGACTCCCCCACCTCTTCCTCCATATGCTGAATTCCCATCCCTATCCTACCTGCCCTGCTTGAAACCCTGCCTGCTTCAATGGGTGAGTGAGAGGCTGCTCAAAGGAGTTTTTATAGGAAGCCTCATGTAGCTTTAAGCATTTGCTTTTTGAGGCTTAGCAAGTTAGGTTTGTCCCAGCCATATGCTAGCATTGAAACTTATTCTGGATGCTTGCAATACATACCATATTTTTTTGCAATAGATTCTCAGTTACCTCAGCAAATTGAAACACCTTCGGATGACAGTGAGCTACCTACAAGAGACAGGTGTTGGGAGAACAGTGAATGCTCTCAGAAAGGAAGATGGTGCTATTGGTCAAAAGGTGAGATGTAGATGTTATGATTTAGAGGCCTATATTAGCCATTCTTGCCAATGACTTAATAATTTATTGTGGTGCATAAATGTCTGAGTGTCTGGCTGTTGATCATTTTCCAGTAGCATAAATGAGGGAAGTTTCTGTTGTCAGAAAGGAGATTGATTTAAAAGATATATGAAATTCAAGATACTATGCATTATGATTTTCATGATCACTTTAGAAGCAGCATGACATGAAATGAACCATACTGGAATCTTATTGAACTCACAAACAGGACAGAAGTGAGGATGTTGTGAGCTAAAACTTGGATTTGTTCTTTTGTGTTCCACTGTATTCTTTGGGTTTGTGGTACAAGCATCCTCCTCTGGGATGCTCATCAGTCAGTCTTATGTTTGAGACTAACTTAAGTGTTGTCCATGGTGAGCTCACCTTGAAAAAATGTTGCACAGCACCAATAACTCTAACAAAGCCAACAAGTCACTTGCCACTCTGTGTCACTATTTTTTTTGGCACAGGGTGATGCCAATACCAAGGCAGTATCGCACAATGGAAATAAACTCTCAATGACACACACACACACATTTAATTCATACACTTCAATGTAAAGCCATATTATTTTCTGCTCTTCTCTGAATTTAGTTTTGCTGCAGATTGATGACCCAGTGTGTGAGATTCAGGCAAATTGCACAGGAGTTGGCAGATTTAGTTACCTCAGGAAGGAGGAAAAATATCTAAACAGAAGTAATCCTTTAGAGTTTGCCATGGGTCTACACCTGGTTACATAGGATTACTCACTGCATACATCCTATCGAAAGCTGGGAGGGAACTGTCTGTCTTGACATGACTCCCAGCCAGTCACTGATAGTGTTTGTCTTCCCTTCTTCAGATATTAGATTCCTTCCTGATGCATCAAATCTAGGCCAGAAGAAGGAGATTATTGAATGAAGTAGAAGAGGAAAAATTGTATGTAAGGCAAAACATCATGCATGACAAGCTGGTGAAGCTCAGACATCTTAGGCCCTGTTCCATCAATCTTTTACTGCATGTATAATCAAGCAACTTGTCCTTGGACATCTGATTCTACTCTTATTCATATACCTGTTATGTAGGGATTTTTAACTGCATGTTCACTAGCAAAACATCTCTTCAGTCAAAATTTTGCTTCTACAGCTTAACCCCTTCACTGGCATGTTTTCAGATACAAATTGTTTTTGAGATTAGACTAACTCATCCATGCCAGTGAAGAGGTTAAACTATAGAGGATAAGCCATCCAGACTCATGCTCATTGCTCTTTCAGATAGCTTTCCCCTTTGACTGCAGAATTAAGATGACTTTAGTAATATTTTTTGGTTGTTTTACAAGGGACATTTTTTTTTAGCAGTCTTCTCTCCAGATGATTATTTCAGTTGAATAAGGTGGGGATAAACTTCCACACAATTCTGGCTATTTCTTTGGGAAGAGCTTCAGTCTTGTTTTGTATAGAGAAATCAGGGGAATCACCTTGTTCCATCCAGCACAAGTGGCATAGCTGAAATTTTGATCCATTTTCTTATCACTGAGATCATGACTCTCAGGGTTAGTTCTGTTCTGCAAAGAAGATAAAGTGATTCAGAATGACACCATCTAATCAGTGTTACTGAATGTCAACCCATTCTGCAACTTACTGATAATATCCATGGTGGGAAAGAGCCATCCAATTCCCCTGTTGAGATATCCATGATGTCTCTGACTGAACTCTGAGTATCTATGCTACACACTGATAGTTTAGAGGCTCCAAGTGCACTAAGCTAAGTATTCTTTCCTAAATTCACTCTCATTGTTTCTGCTTTCATATTGAGGCAAGTTCCTCTGTCTTTCTGTGCTCTTTGTGTCAAATATTTTCATCATGTTCATGGTGGATGTGAGTCCCCTATGGTGCCTGATTAAATATTGTCTGTTATTTCTCCATGCTCTCCCACCCCTTGAGATTATTCAGCTTTTGTCAACTGATATATGGATTGCTGCAGCTGAATATTCTATTAGGTTTTCATCTGAATCTGCTGAGGGTGGACTTCTTGGGTCTTTATTATCCTTTGTTCATTTTCCCATTAATAATAAATTTGTTTACTCCTGTAGGCCAAAGCTTTGGTGACCAGATGGAAGGAACTTGTGATGGAGGAAGAAGAAGAGGAAGAGGAGGAGGCAGACAAGAAGGAGCCAGAAGGCAATGCAAGGGTTAATGGCGAGCTTTCCACCCCTCATGCTGCTTCCCAAAGCACGTTGAAGGTAGAGCGAGAGGCTAGCTACACTATGACTGGTGATGAAGCAATCTGTGATATGGCCAGAGGTCGTGATACTCCGCATGATGATGATGATGGTGATACTATCGAAGATGATGAAGTGGCAATGCGCATCTGTGATGATGTTCCTAAAGAGAAGTCTGATGAACGGCCACAGCTTCCTCAGAATCAGGTCTTCAGTCAAAAAAAGGCTACAGATAGTGAACATTGTAAACATACTCCAGTGAATAAAGGGATACCTACTGTGAATGGCAGATTGAAAAAAGAAAAGTCCACATCTGGCTCTGTCAGAAAGGATGATAGAAACAAGTCTTTAAATGGCAATGCAGATGGGAAGAAGGAAAAGAAAAGTGAAATTGGAAGCAGCAAAGATGAGAAGAAGAAACATAAGAGAAAGAGGCCTTCAGAAGAAAGTGAAGATAAAGGAACAGATGGAAAATCCTTTGCAGAGGCTTTGGGGATGGCTGATGAAAGTGAGAAAAGTGAGAAGTTGAAGAAGAAAAAGAAGAAGCATCACCGCGATGTTGAGCCACTGTCTGAGGCCAGAGCTCAGGTTAGTATGACTGCCTTCCATATTGTCTTATTGCATTGTTCTTGTCTTTTTTGAGGAATGATAAAAAATTCCTATTTACAGAAGGATGAGGTTTCAGATCAGCAGAATGAGATGAAAAGTGCTTTGCCGTTGATTGATGCTGATGCAATTCCAGGTTCATCAGAAATCAAAAACTCTCTTCTTCCAGTCATTAGTCCAGATTACAAGCCACAAAGACATTATAACCTGCCAGAGAAGAAGTCTGTGCAGGCCAAGTTACTCAGTGAAGATGAAGCCCTTCAGCTTGCTATTAACACTAAGAACAATAAGTGAGTTCTGCTGCTCTATGTCTACCTCATGTATACTAACAGTTAGTATGGAAGGTTATTTCCTCAAATGTTTTTTTTTTTTTTTTTTTAGGACAAAAGTATTCTCAGGCACGAAAGGATCTGGACCCTCATCCGTTCCTAGTCTCTTTGACCTCTGCATCCGCAGCCTTCAGGAAAATATTGATAGTAAGTAAAATTTCAGGAGGCAATTCTCTTTTGGGCCAGTTTTCCTGTTTAAGGGTCAGGCAAAAAGGTTCCAAACTTTTATGGGAGTGAAATATCCCTCATATCCTTGCATCTGGCATTTGTTAGTTAGGTTACCTGGCAACACTTCAATTGCTCAAATATCACAATTTAACAAATGTGAGATGCATAGGCCAGCAATATGCCATTGTACAGTGCCATAATGACTAATAATATGCAATGGACAAATGTCAAGTTTTGCATCAAGCAGGGGGGTTAATTAATCTTATTACTAGGATCTGGGGTCTGCCCAGCCCTGTTTAATGTTAATCTGCAAAAAACTATCTTACTCTGGGTCATAATTTTCTGTGACAGCTCTCACTGGTGTGCTTCAAAGACTGTCCTAACTGTACATAAAAGAGCAATTCATATAGTACCTGTTACTCATGCTTTCATAAAATGTGGCACATATCTGTGACCTGGGGTTCATATAGACCCCATGAATCTAAAGGATCCTTATGGACCAATTAGTGATGATAAATCATCACTATTCTATGCCCTATGCTTGTGCTTTCAATGCAGCTTGTGCTCTTTAGAATACAGGGCTAGTCAAAATGATTGCAGCGGTTTCAGAAAATTACTACAGGTTTATTATTTGACATATACTTACAAGATTGCACAGATATATAAACAAGTAGTGAAAGTTGTTTTTAGTGTTTATAGATGCTCAATATGTGCACCTTTAGTGACTCTGCACACATCAACTCTATAATCGAGTAGGACTCAGTGTTCGTGCCACCAGTACCAGTTGATCTGCCAGACCTGCGGGTTCGCATCACCAATGCGTTTGCTCGCATTGACAGAGCCATGCTGCATCGAGTATGGGAAGAACTCGATTATAGAGTTGATGTGTGCAGAGTCACTAAAGGTGCACATATTGAGCATCTGTAAACACTAAAAAAAACTTTCACTATTTGTTTATATATCTGTGCAATCTTGTAAGTATATGTCAAATAATAAACCTGTAGTAATTTTCTGAAACCGCTGCAATCATTTTGACTAGCCCTGTATAATGGAGACAAACTTCAGTATAGTGAACATGTTGAGTATAAACTATCTGTTGCTATGTTAATTTAATGAATATGAAAAAGCAATAAAAATTAACCTGAAAAGTGTCTCTAAATATTTATTTTAAAATATTGATTTTTACTGGCAATGCACACCAGAAAATCAGGTCACAGTGATAGGGTTCTTTGACAGTTCAGCTTAGAAGTGTCACATTTCCTTTATGCAGCCATTCACTGATGATTAGGATTTCACCATGACTATGTACCAGCACACTTTTAATTTCTCAGCAAGTTTTTGACCAAACATCCCATTATTGCAGTGGCATATATATCCTACTCCCTTGTTTTTTATGTTCATTACCTTATGACTTTTTCCTATTTACATACATTGAAGAACATACTGAATTGGCAGACTCAGGAGACTTTGATGAAATCAGTCATAACAACATAACCCAGCATAACATAACAGGAGCTTGCAATGAAAGGACTGAAACTCTGATTCCAGCTGTTACAATGTTGGCAAAGGTGTATCAATTCCTAAAGGAATTACTTTTTAAGGAGATGGAAGTTAATTTGATATGATGGCCAGGGTAAGGCTAGATCAAAAAAGGTTTGGAAACTTGCTGACTGATCCTTGTTTACAGTCAAGCAATAAGGTAAACATTGTGCTTCCTTGCAGGCCTAGAATTCACTGGAGGTGTACCATACACTGTGTTGGAGCCTGTGTTCAAGACTGCCAGTGCTGAACAGCTTTTCACTCTGGAGTATTATAATCCTTACTTGCTGAGTGATACTGATCCCCTCTGGGAACGCCTTGTGAAGAAGGACTTCCGAAACACAGATCGACAGGAGTTGGAAAGTTGGCGGGATATGTATGATGTAAGTGATGTCGTTCTGTGTGAACCCTAATGCCATGAGGCTGTGTGTCTAATGGAGTGGTGAGAACTCTGATTCCTTGCAGAGGTGCAAGAGGGAGAGAGAGGCCAAGTTGCAGAGCCTGACTTCAAAACTTCACCACTCCATGTCAGTGAAAACGCCATCAAGGCAGACAAAACTGGCCTATGTGGACTCAGTGGCTAAACCACCTCGTAGCATCGCTAGACAACAGGTCCTGTTTCTAAATGCCACCTCTTTGTATATCAGTGGGTATTCATCCTTTAGCTAGCTGTGATGCTGTTTCACAAGCCATTTTCTGTTGAGCAACCACATTAACCTATTGCATTGGTTTGGGATTGATTACCCTGCTCTGATTGGATAGTTCCTGGAACCAACCATTTCTTAGTTGCTTTTTCCCTGGAACAGACTGAATCAGTGTTCAAAAATTGTTCTAGTTGGGTTTTCCCAACATGATAAGCAATCTGGAATCCAGAGCTCTAGGCACACATTGAAAAAATTTCCATCATTGGTTAACCCTTATCTGGGCACCAGGAGTCCCATCAGACTCCCCAGGGTATATTTCATTGCATAACTCTATGGCAATTTTTTTCAAATTGTTTAGAAATTCAACCTATAATTTTTTTTCATGAACAGTTATCCATAGATCCAAAAACATATTTTTGAAGTTTTGGTTTGCTTTTAATGGGAAAAATTCTAACAATTTTTGCCCTTACCTGTTTGTGTTGCAAAAACAACTTACTCGGATTGCCAGGGTTTATTTTGACACTCACCACCTTGTGTGTCTAGAACATGGATTCTTCCAGTACATATAAATAACAAATAATAAATAACAAATCCTGACAGCTACACCATCTCCTCACTGGAGTCTCTTGTTGCCTTTGTTCAATGCCAAGGTATGCCTCTACATATTTTCTCTCAAAACATTAGTCCATGAGAATGTCATGAATTTCCCTTCATGGCTGTTGTGATACAAAATATTATAGACCTATTATGTGCCTCAGTTACGGGCATCATGCTGATAAGCTATTATTGAGAGTAGAGTTCCAATACTGAGAGAAATAGTGCTTACCTTTATGTGAACAGTACCAGCATGGCACACCATTCATTACATTTGAGTCAGGTACAGAAACAAATTAACCAGAACAACCACTTGATCATGCAATCAAAATTGCATTAAGTCTCAGTTGGAGGGGGAAAAAATTGGGTCCATGGGTCCATTTGGCTCCCCCCCCTTCCCCTTGGCTTTTCAGTCACCTGTAGGTTCCTTCTTCAAATGTTTTCAGGGACCTGATTATTTTTTGAGGCTTCAGTTTTCATAAGTTCATTACCTTGGAAGCATTACTTTTTAAGAAATACCTTTTTTTTCCCTTCTTCAATATACATAATAATACAACTATGCACTATTTCTTAAGAGATCCACCAGTGTCAGTCCTGTGTCTTCCAATGAAGTGAATTTGGACTTCTATCTGTGCAGGCCAAATATGGAACAGGTGGTCAGGGTCAGCAGAAGAGAGGGACTGGAGCTATTCCTCTATCAAATTTGAAGGATATAGGAAATATGTCCAACTCTTCCTCTTCCTCTTGTGCCTCAAGTAAACTGGCTGCTTCTGTGAAAGCTCCACCACCTCTTGGTAAGCATGTTTCATGATCACTGTAGACCAGCCCTGCAAACTATTCTCTTGTTATTTATGGGCAGTGTTCCATCCTACTCAGTGGCTATTACTTGGTGACTGAAAATTTGTGGGGCTGGTGTACAGGCAAGTCTGGCAGACATTGATATGAATATCACCTGTGTTTATTCTCATAAAATTCTTCTCTATGCAGGAAATATGAAGAAGCCTAAAGTTGCCCCCCTGATGCAGAAAACATTGCGTCTGATGAAGAGTCGATTTCGAAGGTAGCCTCTTAAGCAATGCCTGTGTCCTTTGGTCCTAGGTCTATTTATCTTAGCTGCATTTTTTGTCTTGGTGTGAAGGTGATCTTGTCACTTGATGTGACAAGATATTGCTTGTCTTTCACTGGGATGCAAGGGTTAATATAAGTTTGATGCAGGTTCAGAATGCTTCCTTTTCTTCATCTGAGGCAAAAATGGAAGACCCTTTCTTGTGTTTACCTGGTCACCCTTTTTCAACCCATTTATCCTATTGGTGTTGTTTTCTTGAACACAAAATAAAATTCCTTGTTGACTGCCTGCCCCTTCCATGGCCAAGGTGGCTTTGTGTCATTCTTATCTCAGGTTGTTCAAAGGTATTGGGGAAGTAACATTCTGAATGCATTTTAAAGTACTGAATTAAACTGAAAATCCTTAAACTATGAAGATGGTAGTGCTAGCTGCACCTAGCTATCAAGGTTTAAACCCCTGTAACAGAAAATTTGACTTAGTTCATCATATAAAAAATAATTTGCTGTTTCAATTAAGGGGTATTTGCCTCCCCAGCAAACAAAGGAACATTGAATCAGCGTTGCATGAATGTTAATTTTGAACCTTCCCACTGTTGTGGTGGCATTGCATCTGACATTATGTCAATATTTCAATGTTGCTTATCAGAATACTCAGATGTACATTGAGGTTCAACACTAGCTGAACGTTGGGCCAACATTGCAATGTCGCTTATTGAAATGCTCACTCCCACCCAAGTAGCACCCCAATATTGGGTCAATGATGATGGCAGAGGATTATATATATTTTGTTCTGAAGGTACTAATATTAGTACTTTCCAGGGAACGGTCTTCCCTTTCCTGCTCTGCAGAGTACTCAGAAACTCCTTTCCTCTCCTGGGAGTAGAATGATCAAACTGTTCCCAGAGATGAGGGAACAATGACTAAAGTCTTGGTATGTTATCGACTTTTTAAGAAATTCCATTCAAGTATTACTAAATACATTCATGCAAGGGGTTCTCATGGGAGTATGAGCTTATTTATCACCTGGGCTCCATGATTCTGTCTCGAATATGGGGATAATATATGATTAAGTGTCCTATTTCATTGATTGTTATAATGAGACTAGGAAAAACATATGGGTGAAGTACTAAACACTCCTGTGAGGGATGATTCCATGGAAAGAGGGAAGTGCACTTTTGTGTTCTGGGCGAAAAACAAGACCCATACTATCTAGTGGCCTAGAGGAGATTTTCAACGTTTCCAACAAAAAAAATTATCCGTGCAAACTTGGGCACATAGGATCATCCCGTCAGTCTGATATTGGATCGATGATGGAATGACAGTATTGGGAAGCCAGTATTGGCAATAATGGCAAGATATATATTGACATCGTACCCAATGTTGGTCAGCAGTGAACCAATATTTGGTGTTACTAGGGTGGTAACACTGGGATATTATATAGGTTCTTGGTCGTTTGTTGAAAAAAAAAAGTGCATTCCCTATTTGGCGATACGGGCTCTGATACTACCATAAATATTCAAAAATGCGATTTGAGAAGGTATCATAGTGCCACAACACTACTATAATATTCACGCAACGTTGGGCTTTGACCTTCAACGTCAATGACACTATATTGACTCGGGGAGAACGTTCCCACAACACTACTATGTTTGCTGGGTCCTTACTGAACATATTCTATGCGTCCTTGATAAGCATTAACTTTCTTTTTCACAAGTTTTCCTTAAGGAAAGCTAAGGCAACAGGCCCCAATGGGATTTCGATTGGTGTCATCAATGAACTCGGGGGGGGGAATGTCGATACTGTTGAAAGTCATCTTCGAGAATTGCAATTTGCGTGGTGAATTACCGAGGGATTGGAGAGTGGTGAACGTCGCGCCAATCTTTAAAAAGGAAGATAAGAGCAATCCAGGAATTTACTGGCCAATGAGTCTCTCGAGCAACTTCCCAGCAAACATAGTAACGTTGTGGGAACGTTCCCCCAGGGTCAATACAGTGTCATCGACGTTGAAGGTCAAAGACCAACGTTGCGTGAATATTGTTGCAGTGTTATGGCATTATGATA